ATGAGTTGCAAACGTTTTCAGAGTATATCTGTCTTTATATTTCAACTTTTCCATATAGATTTTAAAAAATATACTTGAATTTAAAAATATTTTCTTTATGGCATCATGATTTTTTCACAAAAAGGTTTTATCACTTGAATGGATTAGCATCACAAAAGTATTAGAAGACTAATATTTTCCTGATTCTATTTTTATATTTAAACCTTCGATCTGTTCTAATTTCTCCTAATAAAAGGGTAAAAAGTATGGCTCTACTTTCATTTTTTTTTCACATGACTGCCTGACTAATACAGCACTATATTTGGTTTATACATCTTATTTCCTCCACCAACAGTTTTCTGACTCTTCATAAGCCAGCACTGTTCAATTATTTTAGCCTGAAAATATATTCCAATAACTAGCAGGTGAGAGTTCTTCAGAACTATCTTTTCTATATTTTTTTCTGGCTATTCATGCTTATTCATTTCATGCATGAATCTTAAAACCAGCTTCCTTACTTAAAACAAAATAATCCTGTTGAGGTAATATTACTTTTATAGATGAGCTTAGAAAGAATTAATTACTCTAATGATTTTCAAATTGTCTTTACAAGATTTTTGCATCCCTTTTTTGTTATTAAAGATGTTTTTTTATTGGAGAGGCAGATATATAGAGAGGTGAAGAGACAGAGAGGAAGATCTTCCATCCGCTGGTTCACTCCCCAAGTGGCTGCAACTGCTGGAGCTGAGCCGATCCAAAGCCAGGAGCCAGGAATCTCCTCCAGTTCTCCCATGTGGGTGCAGGGACCCAAGACTTTGGGCCATCCTCGACTGCTTTCCCAGGCCACAAGCAGGGAGCTAGATGGGAAGTTGAGCTTCCAGGATTAGAACTGGAGCCCATATGGGATCCTGGCGTGGACTTTAACCACTACGCTATGGCGCCGGGCCCAGATTATTGCATTCCTCTTCACATGTTCAAATTTTTTAAATAATTAAGTTTACTATAGATAGCTCTTTTTTCTAGTTATTTTAATACCCAATAGATTATTTTATTTCATAATATATAATGTTTTGTTACATTATGTCTTCTGTTATCTATATTTCTATGATGTCTTTAACTTTATTATTATTCACTTTTTAAAGGCAGAGTGATGGAGACAGTTATTTCCCATCATCTGGTTCACTACCCAAATGCCCACAACAATCGGGTCTGGACCACGAAGAAGTCAAAAGTCAGCAGCTCAATGCAGATCTCTCCTGTGGCTAGCAGGAAGCCAACTGCTGGAGCCATCAACCCCTGTCCTGCAGTGTGAGCATGCGCAGGAAGCTGGACGGAGCAGAGCTGGGATGCAAATCAAGGCATTTGGACATGGGACCATCCCAACAAGCACCTTCACCACTGAAGCCCCATTTCTGAATATTAATTTTAAACACAGTCACTAAATTAAACTCTCTCTCTCCCTTTATCCTATGTCTTCTATAAAAAGAATAATTTCACTCACTCTTTTCCAAATATTTGTTGGAAAAGTTTGGCTACTATCTTGAGAACAATACTAAACAATTGACAACCTTACCTTGTGCCAAAGGAAAATGAAGTTTAAGAAATAAATATGCATTACAGCTCTTTTCATCTTAAGCAATAGTAACCAACTCAAGCATGCAGAAGCAGAATGGAAGAGTTCATTATATAGAAGCAGACTACCACACTAAACTCAAGGGCAATGAGAAACCACAGGCCTGCTCTCAATTCCTCTTCTGCCTTTATATCTTTTCATATGTCTACTTCATTCTTTATTTGTGACCAGCTTTCTCTGTTACTTAGCCACATCGGGGAAAGATCTTTTACCCATGGTTCTTAATTAACCTGCTACAATTCCGAGCACAATGTCTTGTTTTCTTTGGGTCCTAAATGAAAGGAGTCCTACCTTTGGATTCGGACACAACCAACTATTGATAATGAGAGTTGCATCACATTAAAAATACATCTGCTAGGGCTAGGGAGCAATTCTTTAATGGCATCATTTTAAGCAGGGCACATATTCCAAAGACAACTTGTACTTCAACGCCCAAAAATACAAATGTCTACCTCAGGAAGCTCCACATGATTGGTTGTGATGCCTTTAAGCATTTAAACTTCCTCGACAGCTTCAATTTTAAGTGGAATTCTCTGGAAACAGATTCAGACAGGAATGCAGATGCGAGTCGATTACAGGCAGAGCACTCTTCAAGAAATACAGCAAGTGAGAATGTTCAGCAGGATGAGAAAAAAAGCACACAGTGACACTGTCGGTAAAATGCAGTCATGGCTTGATTTATTAGGATTCTCTGCTGAGCTGTCTCCCTTGAAATAATAGAGTGGGTCATTGGTAGTCCCTTAAAAGTTAGTCATTGAGGGCCCAGTGCAATAGCCTAGCAGTTGGAGTCTTGCACCAGGATCCCATATGGGTGCCAATTCTGATCCCGGCAGCCCCACTCTCCATCCAACTCCCCTCTTGTAGCTTGGGAAGGCAGTTGAAAACAGCCCAGGGTCTTAGGACCCTGCACCCATGTGGGAGACCCGGAAGAGGATCCTTGCTCCTGGCTTCGGACCAGCTCAGCTTTGGCTGATGCAGCCACTTGGGGAGTGAATCAATGGACAGAAGATTTTCTTCTCTGTCTCTCCTCTTCTCTGAATGTCTGACTTTGCAATGAAAATAAAATAAATATATATATATATATATTTTAAAAGAAGTTAGTCATTGAGAAGGCGGCCAAGATTTTATGGCAAAGAGTTCAAACCAACTGATGGAAATTCCTTAGGGAAGAGAGTACAGCTATGAGCCTTGAGCAATGAACAGTCACGGTTGTGGGAAGGGAGCAGGGTAGGACTCACAGGACATCAAAGCATCAACTACTGCTTTCTATCAAAATGGTGAACACACAAGAAGATACTATTATATTGCCACACATTTGAAATACATGAGACAAAGAGTTTAGCATTTTTAAAAAGGTTTACTTATTTATTTGGAGGGTGGAGTTACAGAGAGAGAGAGAGATTGGTATTCTGTTTTTTTTTTAAGATATATTTGTTTTTATTAGAATATCAGATATACAGAGAGAAAGAGACAGAGATCTTCCACCCGCTAGTTCATTCTCCAAGTGGCCACATTGGCTGGAGATGAAACAATCCAAAGCCAGGAGCCAGAAGCTCCTTCCAGGTCTCCCATGCAGGTTCAGAGTTCCAAAGACCTGGACCATCCTCCACTGCTTTCCAGTCCAGAAAAAGGGAGCTGGAAGGGAAGAGGAACAGCCAGAACACAATCCATTGCCCATATGGGATCCTGGCACTTGGAGGTTGAGGATTAGTCAACTAAGCCATCGCACTGGGCCCAAGATTGGCTTTCCATTTACTGGCTCACTCCCCAAACGGCCTCAATGACCAGAGCTGGGCCTGTCTGGAATCAGGAGATTGATCTGGGTTTCCCATGTTGGTGCAGGGGCTATTGAAGCACATCAGCCAAGACTCAAACCAGTGCCCAAATCTAATGCCAGCGTCACTACAGTGCTCGCCACAAGACTTAGGGATATGATCAGGACCCCAAGCCTATACATTGTAAATTCCTGTCTCTTGCTTTCTGTTTTGTATCACTGCTAGCTCCCAATCATGTACTTGTTCACTGTCACGTAGCTTTTTGATTCTTTTACTATAAAAACCCAATGATTATTTTATCTGGGGCTCTTCTTACTTAAGGCAAGAGGTTGCTCCTTGGACTAGACAATAAAATCATCTCACTCACCTTTGAGTCTTACTTGGATTCCTCGATCCCAGTCATCCAGCATTGTAGCATAGTGGGTAAAGCCACTGGCTGTGACACTGGCGTCTTATATGTGCACTGGTTAGAGTCCTGGCTGCTGGGAGATCCAGATGAGGCTCTTAGCTCCTGGCTTTGGTTGGCTCCAGTCCTGGCCATTGCATCCACCTGGGGAGTGAATCAATGGATAAAGACCTTTTTCTCTCTTTCATTCTCTCTATATGATTTTTTAATAAATAAGAACAATTTTTAACATAAAAATAAATGCAATGTAGGAATAATGCTCTAGGAGATATTTGAGGAAGAAGGCAATTTAATGTCTATGAAATTATGATCAGACATAAAGCATTAATCCAGGTGCATTTCAGAGAATAATCTTAGAATTAAGTTCCAGCGAAATGCTCTCTACAATCTCCAGTAATGGCGCTCAAAAGCTTCACTCAGTGATTGAGTGGGGTTTAGAACGCTTCCCAACACCAAGGGAAGCAGATAACAATGAGAAATTGTTCTAAATAACATAAAGGCAATGTCTAGCAGAAATGCCAGTTAAACTGTGTTGCTGCCCAGCGGATTCCATTGTAGACATGGGGAGGGAGAGCCACAGAGTCATTTGCCTACACGTCGGTCTCCCTGGTGCGAGTGGGTATTGTTCGGCATCCTGCGGCAGGATTAGAAGTATTGCCAGGGAACAAATACACAAAGTTGTTATGGAAACCAGAATTCTTGGGCTCTGAGTTATTTACAGAGAACTTTCAGGATTACCACATTCAATAAAACCAGCCCTGTTTTGTTTTACCCTAGACCAGCACATTTCAATCTAAGATCTATTCGAAGGGGTTTTTCAACCAGCTACACTTCGGTAAATAGGAACTTAAGAGTCAGTGGATCATGGTCACCTCACATACTTAGCATTTTGTGTGTCATATCCGTTGCTTGTTCACACTTGCCTCAACCATTGTCAAGTTCACTAATTTCCGTAATAGAAGAAGGTAGCTGGTATGCTTTCTGCAAAGAGCGAGCTGCTGTCTCTTTTGCCCGGTGCTGCAGGGCTGTGGGCTTCGGCTTTTCACCTTTTCTCAACTCACTTTTGAAGTTACACAGTAGGAGCTAATTGTGGCCATCAGCTTTGCCCTTATGGTGAATCAGAATTTTTCCAGCAAGCTACTAGGACCTTTGCGAGGACAGCTTTTGCTTTTTGTGTTTGTTTTCTGTTTTGGAAGGCCATTGCACAATGAGGATTTTCATAGCCTTTGAGGGATCTTTTGAACCATTCGATGTTTCGGCAGATGCAACGGTGGAGACTGTGAAGTTGATGATAAAGGTATGTCCAATGAGCCCGGCTCACTGAGATGTGTAGGAATTCTAACGGTACAGTGCAATTTGAAACAAAGCCAGAATGGCCAGCTAACAAGAACCTAAAACACATGGAAGATACTATTGTTTAAATTGCAGATTGTTAAAACAGTAACTCTTGAGACATTCGGCAGGAAAGGAAATGGAACCAAAAATTCTCGGGGGTGGGGGAAGAATTTCACTTCTCTTTAGCGAATTTGTGGATTTTGCATGGGTCAAGTGGTGTTACTTCCATTTTACATAAGAGAACAAAAGCAAGATAGGAACTTTAGGTTATATTGATGGAATGTGCCAGGCATCCCATACATGCTTTGTTTGAACCCAAGGACTTTAAAGACAGACACTTCTCAGAACCTGTGGGTTACAGCTCCATTTTTCACTCAGAGAAAACTGAAGGCATGCGAAGGGAGCCTGTGTCGGCACAGGACAAAACTGGTGCAGTATTTTCCTGTAAGTTTCTTACAAATATTTACTCTAAAATGAACAATTAAGTCAAGGGATCAAATACATCAAATATTTAACCTAGAGCTGCTCACTCCCATTTGCTAAGAAGCATTAGTGAGTCACAGACAATATTTAGCAAATGACTGAAATCTAGAAATTTTCCGACACACGACTCTAAATCATGGGGACCTTAGCGAGTCTGATAAAGTCTATGAACTCCTCAAAATGTCCTTAAAGGTATAAAATATAATACATGTGACAAAAAGGAAATCCTATGTCAGAGTGCTGGGTTGAGTCTCAGCTACTCTGCTTGTGATCCAGCTCCCTGATAATTCACTCATGACAGCAGTGGAAGATGACACAAGTGCTCGGGGCTCTGCTACCCACATGAGAGACCCAGGAGGAGTTTCAATTTCCTGGCTTTGGCCAGGAGTTGATTGGGAGTGAATCAGAAGATCTTTCTGGGCTCAGCGCAATGGCCTAGTGACTAAAGTCCTTGCCTCACACACCCCGGATCCCATATGGGCACCAGTTCCTGTCTCTGCTGCTCCACTTTCCTTCTTGCTGCCCGATTGTGGCACGGGAAAGCAGTAGAGGACAGTCCAAAGCCTTGGAACACTGTACCCATGTGGGAGACCTGGAAGAAGCTCCTGGCTCCTGGCTTAGGATCAGCTCAGCTCTAGCTATAGCCATTTGAAGAGTGAACCAGTGGATGGAAAAGCTTTGTCTCTGTCTTTCCTGCCTTTCCAGTAGAAATGAATAAATCTTATTAAAAATTTTTTTCTCTCCTCTTTCTAAATAGGAGAGACATTTTAAAAATAAAAATGAATGAACATAAGAAAAGATGCCATTAAAAATATATCTAGGGGCCGGTGCAACAGCTGAACTGGCTAATCCTTCCCTTGCAAGCTCTGGAATTTCACATGGATGCTAGTTCATGTCCCAGCTGCTCCACTTCCCATCCAGCCTCCTGTTTATGGCCTGGGAAAGTAGTAGAGGAGGTCCCAAGTCCTTGGGTCCCTGCACCCACGTGGGAGACCTGGAAAAAAACTCCTGATCCTTGCCTCAGCTCAGGTCCAGCCATTGTGGCCATTGGGGGAGTGAATCACTGGATCGAAGATCTTTCTCTCTGACTCTCCTTCTCTCTGTAAATCTGCATTTTCAATAAAAATAAATAAATCTTTAAAAATAGATTAATTAGTAAAAATATATACTAAAATAATTGGGGTTCTACTAACAAGTTCCAACAGTAACTACTGAATTTTCAAAGTAATGGCAAATATAAAGAATATTTTGAGCTGACTGAAACAAGTGTCATGTGAAAACATCTGTGACCTCTTTGCTGAAAAAGTCGTAGGGCTAGCTGGTAACTGCTGCTATAGGCTCTTGCCAAGAACCTTTTATATTTTTCTATTGGAATCATATTAACTCTTGGGGGAGTCTAAAGTTAAGAAATTCTCTATTTTTCTTTTAAGACTTGTTTTTACTTTTATTAGAAAGGCAGATTTACAGAGAGAAGAAGTTACAGAGAGAAAGATCTGTCTATTGCTGGTTCACTCCCCAATCAGCCACAAAAGCTGGAGTTGAACCGATCTGAAGCCAGGAGCCAGGAGCTTCTGGGTCTCCCACGTGGATACAGGGTCCCAAGGCTTTGAGCTATCTTCTATTGCTTTCCCAGAGAAGCAGGGAGCTGGGTGGAAAAATGGAGCAGCCAGGACACGAACTGGTGCCCATATGAAATTCTGCTGTGTATCAGGGCAAGGGTTTAGCCACTTGGCCATCGTGACAGGCCCAAGAAATTCTTTGTAACACTACTTCTCTTTTGTGTCAAACCATTATAGTACTAAGAGGAAATAGTGTACAGAGAGAGATTGCATATCTTTGGGAGTAATGCTGAAGTGTCCTGTTTCCCTGGTGTGCTGTTGCCTTTGAAGGATCACTTCCACATTCCCCTCTCTGAAGACAAGCAAGGCACGCGGTATCTGGAGCTCATGTATGCTGGAGCCGCTCTGAAGGACAGCTGGAGCCTGGCTGACATCGGAGTGTCTTTCTGTTCAACTCTCAAATGCTCTGTCAAGGTACAATGGTCAGAATAACATGTTTCCAAGATGTCTGTCATAGTTTCAATGAAGTGATGGATAAGTCAGTCAAAATAATTCCCTAATTGAGAGGTTCGCCATCTCCTGGAAAAATTTCTGGATAAACTCTCCTTAGCTTTTGATTTGTTTTTCCACTGGACAAATCTCTCAAAGAATGTAAGAGCTGTTGTACTCATGTAGATATGTGACGCTATGTCAATTTCTTGACCTTAGATGAAAATTTGGGCCTCAAGGAACTTACAAAACACATATCCTCTGTCAAATGGGGAACCAATCTTCTCACACTTGGCATTTTAGGAAGTTTTATGGTGGTCAGCCTTAGTTCCTTATTTTTTATCACGTAGTTTTATTTATTTGGAAGGCAGAGGCATATAGAGACTAATGGGCAACCATCTGCCAGCAGCAGAGGGAACCAGGCCAGGCTGAAGTTCAGAACTGGAAGTTCAGTGCAAGCCTTCCATGCAGACAGGGACCCCAAAATGTAGTCCATCACCTATGGCCTCACAGAGTGTTCATTAATAGAAAATTGGATCAGAAGCAAAGCTGAGGGGCTAGCACCGTGGCATAGTAAGCTAAGCCCCTGCCTGCAGCACTGGTATCTCATATGGGTACCTTTTTGTGTCCTGGATACTTCACTTCTGATCCAGCTCTCTGCCTACAGCCTGGGAAAGCAGTGGAAGATAGCCCAAGTCTTTGATCTCCTGCACATATTTGGAAGACCAGGAAGAAGCTCCTGGCACCTAGCTCTGGTCATTGCAGTCATTTGGGGAGTAAACTAGCAGGTAGAAGACCTTTCTCTCTCTCTCTCTCTCTCTCCTTCTCTCTATAATTCTGCCTTTTATATAAAGATTTTTAAAATAAATAAATCTTTAAAAAAGAAAGAAGTGGAGCTGGGCTCAAACCAAGTCACTCCAATATGAAATGTAGACATTCCAAGTGGTGTCTATATCAATATTTCAGCAGCTAACTAGGTGAGTGTTCAAAAGGAATAGACCAAATGTATCAAGAAAAATCACAGAATCATAAACATTATGTTGCAGAGTCTGCCCCACAGATTCCTCTAGTACCGCACTGCCGGAGGGGGTGAGCCTGCTGCCTGCCATCCAGTCTCCTAGCACGCAGGAGACAAACAGATGGACAGGGGTTCTGTCTAAGCAGTTCTGATTTATTGGGGAAGTACAAGTTCTTATATAGCGTAACGGATAGCCTCAGGCCAGGAATCCCAGGAGGGGAGAAACTAGGAGCCAATTACCAGGAGCATGGCTGCTGAAGCCACCTCCCATAGGCCAAGGGATAGGTGAGTGAGATGGCCATGGCCAATCAGTCTTTCTTTGAAACAACGTGACCCCTGGTTCATGCCCAGGGCTCTGTCCTTGGCCGCCATCTTGCCCGCCACCTGTTACCCAGTTAGTCACCATCTTGTTGACTTAGTGACCTCTTTGCCCCTGAGCCCCACTTTATATGATCCTGCTTAGGTAAGCAAAAGATCATTTTATACATGCTTTTATATATTTTATGAGCAATTATGCAAGGTTCAGTTGGTTGGGAGAATTTGATGACTGATCTCCCAACCAACTGAACCTTGCATAATTGCTCATAAAATGGTTTCCATCCCAACTCAGTTTACGTTTCAGTTAGATAATGAAACAGTCTACACTATCTGAAAGTCTACACTGTTTGCCAAAATGGCCTTACAGTGGCTGGCATGTGGCATAACACATTAAACTACCACCTGAGAAGCTGGCATCTCCTAAGAGCAGAGGTTCTTCCAATCTAACTCCCTGCCAACAGCCTGGTAATGCAGTGGATGAGGTCCGAGCACGTGGGTCCCTGCCACTCACGTGGGAGACCTGGAAGATGTTCCTAACTCCTGGCTTCAGCCTTGCTCCACAGTGGCTGTTGCAGATGGAAGATCTCCCTCTCTATGTCTCACCAGCTCTGTGTGTAATACTTTCAAAATAAGCAATACATAATTTTCAAAGTGGGCTAACCACAACTACCTCAAGAAAGCATCCCACATCTCAAAGAACGTGGTCATACCTGCTCTACATGGCTTGGTCTGTTTCAGCTGAGTGCTTATTTCCAACTCACTTGTCATTGCTTTATAATATAATATATATCCATACAGACTTTGTCAGAACGGGTCCTCTTTATACTTAACTATGCTACTTTGTGCAAGTAAGCTCTGTTGGCTGAGAATCCCACAGCTGGTGTCTCTTATTTTGGTACAACTTGGAAATATAATGTGAACCAAAGATTTATGTAGAGTTCAAACACTTGGCTCTGGTAGGAGGTTTTCCTTTTTCAAAAGATACCAGCAGACACCTGCAATGAAATAAACCCAAGATAAATATGAAAAAAAAAGGAAAGATATTGGTTAAATGCAGTGATAATCTACCCTTAGGGGCATTTTAAAGTAGTTCATCCATTTCCCAGTGTCCACATCGTTTCTTTAGCGGTGATTTAGACAGATTTGGAGAAGTGAATGGAGGGATGACAGAATAGTGGGGAGGTGTAGCAGGTGTGACAGGCTAATACTCTACCTGTGGCACTGGCATTCCATATGGGCACTGGTTTAAGTCCCAGCTGCTTCACTTCCAGTCTGGTTCTCTGTTACTGTGCCTGAAAAAGCAGTGGAGGATGACCCCAAACTTTGGATCCCTGCACCGACCTGGGAGACCTGGAAAAAGTTCCTGGTTCCTGGCTTCAGATCAGTTCAGCTCTAGCCACCATAGTCAAATTCTCTGCTAAACGGATGGGAGATCTACCTCTGTTTGTCTCTCCCCTCTCTCTTTGTAACTCTGACTTTTAAGCAAAATAAATAAACTTTAAAAAAATAATAAGAAGAAGCCTGGGCAGGGGGAGAACAAATACTAACCTTTGCATCCTTGCAAAAGAACTACAGAGGAATCAGAAACATTTTCTATGGCATGCATCTCTGACTTTCATTAGCACAGATATCAGCCCTGCCTGTTCAGGGCTATGCTGTTATACTTCACTGTGTTTCAATATACTATGGCATTTGACATTTTTTTTAAAAAGCCAATATTTTTCGGGAGTGAAAACAGAACCAACCCAGCAATTACAACCACCAGCTGATTGGAGCGATGGACTGTGCCTGGCCCTGTACTTGTTAGCACATACAAGAAGTTTCTTTGGAGATCTTCCTAATCTAAACGCTGGACTCAGAACCCTAACGAAGAAAAGAGAGAAGACAGAACAGGTCAACCAACCATCTCAGCTATGATGGACTATGTCAATCAGTGGATTTTTCAAAGACCTCATAGTGCTTGGAGTGGCAAGATTGACAGCAATTCATAACTGTTGCAATATCAAAACCACTCGAGCAAGAACCTCAGAGCATGCCCTACACCCGGGACTTGGGGAGGGTGGGAAATTGGGTGGGCCTTCTCCCTCAATACCCCCCTTTTAAACACGAAGGTAACAATATGGAAAACATACTAATATTATCCACTTTCCTGTAGCCCTTGAACCTTCTTACTCTAACTAAGTATGTAAAGAATATCAAAATAAATTTTATTAATAATAAAAAAAAGCCAATATTTTTATCTGGCATGCAGAGATATTATTATTTTTTACAGTTCATACTTATTTACCCAACGACAGAGCAATAGAGAGGGGCAGGAGGAGGAAAAGAGAGGGGGAACCTCCATTCACTGGTGCATTCCCCAAATGGCTACAACAGGCAGATCTGGGCTGAGCCAAAGCCAGGAGACAGGAACTGCCTTCTGTCTGTCACAGGTGTGGCAAACCTTGAGCCACCATCTGCTGCATCCCAAGGACATTAGCAGGAAGCTGTATCAGACACGGAGCAGCTGGGATTCAAACCAACACTCCAATGTGTGATTCCAGTATTGTAGCAATGCTTAACCCACTGTGCTACAACACCAGATCCAGATACTATCACTTTTATCCTATGATACTGAGGATACCACTGCCTGAGTCTTACTGTTGTCATCTAGTGCCTACAACAACACCAACATACAGCAGGTGCACAGATGACTGATAAAAGGCTTAAAGGACAAAGTATTAAAATAAACCAAAGGTATATGAGAAATTTATGAAGGCATCGCATTGGAATTCATTCACTTAAACAGGGCCTAGCATGGTAGCCTTAGCCTGGAGTGGTAGCTTAACGTCTAAAGTCCTTGCCTTGCATGCACCGGGATCACATATGGCACCAGTTCGTGCCCCGGCAGCTCTGCTCCTCATCCAGCTCTCTGCTTATGGCATTGGAAAGCAGTAGAAGATGGCCCAAAGCCTTGGGACCCTGTACTCATGTGCAAGACAGGGAAATGGTTTGGGACTCAGCTCAGCTCCAGCCATAGCAGTCACTTGGAGAGTGAACCAGCAAATAGAAAACCGTCCTCTCAGACCCTGTTCCTCTTTGCAAATCTGACTTTCAAATTAAAATAAATAAATAAATATTTTAAAATAGCATTATTGGGCCTGGCACAGTGGCCTAGCTGCTAAAGTCCTCGCCTTGAACATGCCGGGATCCCACATGGACGCCAGTTCTGATCCTGGTGGCCCTGCTTCCCATCCAGCTCCCTGCTTGTAGCCTGGGAACGAGGATGGCCCAAAGCCTTGGATTTTGCACCTGTGTGGGAGACCTGGAAGAGGTTCCAGGCTCCTGGCTTTGGACCGGCTCAGCACCGGCCGTTGGGGTCACTTGGGGAATGAATCATAAGACAGAAGATTTTCCTCTCTGTTTTTCCTTCTCTCTGCATATCTGACTTTGCAATAAAACATAAATAAATCTTTAAAAATAGCATTATTTCTCCTTTTTTGCTCATTCTGAAATAATTGGGACACATTTCTGCTTATTTGGTGCCATAACTCCAAAGCGGCCATATATATTTACAAAAAGCAGAACTGGAGAAAAAAAATCACAGCAGTGTTCAAGACCTCTGCCAACTTCTGCTTTCTTGCAGTTTAACTTTTCCTATCTTATTGTTCATGTTACTGTACATCTTTACAGTGAGTTTGCATCTGTTTCTCAAAGGCAAAAGTAGTTATTATTGAAAAGTATGATACCTCGTGTGCATCGCTTACTGCGGTGTCTTCGTGTGCAAAGATATAAATTTTGCAGCCTAGCAATCAGAGGTACGCTGGTGAGGGAAAGTGGGAAAGGGAGGAAGAGGGGGCAAGAGGCGCAGAGACTGCTACAGGGCCCACAGAGAACCTGCAGGCCTGTTGGAGGGAGCCCACAGCCTGGGACATTCAGTGGGCACGTACACTGACATTGGCCAAGCCAATAAAAGGCCATTGAAGAAGAATGCTACTGTCCTGAATTGATAAAAAGAGGAAATAAAAAGGAAGTTTTCATTTTTGTTAAGAGAATGCAAATTATCTTTTTTCCCCAACTCCTTCCCCTTTCTGCCATGTGTTTCTTCACCAAACTGTGTGTATATGTGTGATTTATTTACTTATTTGTTTAATAATTTGAAAGTTAGAGTTACAGAAAGAGAGAGACCAAGAGGGAAAGACCTTGCATCTGCTGATGCACTTGCCAGTGGATGGGACTGGACCAGCACTGGGCCAAGCCGAGGTCAGGAGCCAGGAGCTTCTTCTGGGTCTCCCGCGTAGATGGCAGGGGCCCAAACTCTTGGGCCATTTTTACTGCTTTTCTCAAGCATATTAACAGGGAGCTGGATCAGAAGTGGAGCCGCTGGGACTGTATCAGGCACCCACATGAGATGCTGGCATTACAGACTGCGGCTTAGTCCACCATGTCATAATGCCAGCCTCTTATGTTTTTAATTTGCATCTGGCTTGATTAAACTGTTGATTACAGAAGGATACGTATTTGCTCCAACTTTCCATCTTTACTTCAAATATCTCAGTTCCATTTCCTTTCCTGTTTAGGTCGTAAAATAAAAGGAACAAAACTTTACGTCTTCAGTATTTCCCCTTTTAAATAATAAAAGCAAGAACAAGTGGTTGCCGTGGTTTTCTTCTAAGTCAAACTGCAAAGATAACGAAGAGCTACAATGATAAACAGTGACTCCTTCCCAGAGATCCAAGGTATCGCCTGGTTAACGTGCAACACAATGGAGGCGTGTTTTCTAACTAATGCCTCCATCAGTACAGCACGGATCTTCACAGTCAGCTCAGCGTGGCTGGGCATGCAGAAAAGAGTAAAAAAGCCTTACTGATGCAGCCCGACTTCACTGACAGCACAGGCTCCTCTCTTTGGAAAAGAACAAGTCTCAGACCAGAAACCACAACCCGGGCCTGGCGTGGTAGCCTAGCAGCTAAAGTCCTTGCCTTGCATGTGCCAGGATCCCATATGGGCACCGGTTCTAATCCCGGCAGCCCCCACTTCCCATCCAGCTCCCTGCTTGTGGCCTGGGAAAGCAGTCGAGGATGGCCCAAAGCCTTGGGATCCTGCACTTGCATGGAAACCTGGAAGAGGCTCCTGGCTCCTGGCTTTGGATGGGCTCAGAACCGGCTGTTGTGGCCATTTGGGAGTGAATCATCGATTGGAAGATCTTCCTCTCTATCCCTCCTCCTCTCTGTATATGACTTTTTAATAAAAATAAACAAATCTCGCTTTAAAAAAAGGAGAAAGAAGCCATCATCTGTCCTTTGTCCCAGCCTTTAGCCAATGAATTCCCTCCTCTTCTCTCCTGTCAGGAAGAAGACAAACCTGCTCTCTACGTGTTCAATGCTGTCACACAGGAGACAATGGCAATAATAGAGAGCACATCCCTTCTTGGTAAAAAAGTGTGTGATCTGAGAACACTGGTCACTCTGAGATGTGGCTTCCCCGTGAGTGTTTACTGCCTCCGGACCCCAGAGGGCGTCGAGCTGTATGACTGCAACTCCCTGGGAGACTACGGGATCGAACTCGGTACAGCCACAGGCTGGGTATCAGCCACTCTCAGCCCTGGGGGGTCTCTGATAACACTTTTTCCTTGATGTGTTTCATTTGAAAGACAACAGAAGAGCCTCCCATCCTCTGGTGTGTGCAATGGCTAGAGCTGGGCTGGGGTTGAACTCAGGAGTCAGAAATGCAAGTTTCCCATATGGGTGGCAGGCACCTAACTCCTTGTACTGTCCACTGCTGCTTTCCAAGGTGTACATCAGCAGGAAGTGGAAAGCAGAAACCCAGCAAGGACCTCGGGTCCTCTGATGTGGGATGCGGAGGGCTCGGGCAGTGTCTGCTTTGGTTTTTGTTTTTAAGGAATTGACTAATACATTAGATTCTCAGGGCCATACTACACATGCATACTGCAACCCAATTTTGAGGTTAATATGATATTAAGCACAAAGAGAACAGATTCATAGAATTCTAAGAATTGAATGATACTCGCCTTCTTCCCTCTCTCCTTTCTTCATCCTTTATTTCCTCCCTTCTTCTTAATGTTTGAAATAGCATATTTTTAGATAACATATTTCCAATTTACAATACAGCCAAAGGCTTAATGCTTCACTAAATAAAGAGCTCAACAAGTAAAAAGAAAAAAAAGTTCAGCAGGAACACAGGCAAAGGCTATGAAGAGCCATCAAATCAGATGGCTGTTTCACTCATACATGGTAAATGTTTAAGTAATCAGGATAATTAAAACTAAAGTAGTGTATCTACATATATTAGCTATCACAGAGAACAGAAAGCATGATAGTTTTATTTTCAGGTCTGTCTTATTTCACTTAGCACAATGTCTCCTATTGCATCCCATTTTTTTTTTCAAATATTAGGATTTCATTTTTAAGGTTAAGTAATATTTCATTGCATATAAATCACAGTATTTTTATCCACTCACCAGCTGATAGAAAACCAGGTTTGATCCATATTTTATTTTTCAAGAAGATTGATTTATTCATTTACTTCAAAGGCAAAAGTACAGGGTGGTTGGGGAGGAAGAGAGAGGGAGAGAGAGACAGAGAGAGAGAGATCCATCTTCTGGCTCACTCCACAAATGGATACAATAGTCGGGGCTTGACTGGCCTAAACCTGGAGTCCAGAACTCCATGTGGGCCTCCCATGTGGGTAGCACAGGTCCAAGGACGTGGGCCATGGTCCAGTGCTTTCCCAGATGCACTACAGGAAGCTGAACTGGAAGTGAACGTACTCTGGTTTCTCTTCACATAGTATGAATCTTTTACCAAAGGAAGTGAAGCGGCCAGACTCAAAGCAGCCCTCATATGCAAGGCCAGCATTGCTACTGCTCGTTTCACCTGTGTACCATAACGGCCCCTGGATCCATATCTTAGCTTTCAGAAGTATGGAAGTAGAGGTAATTCATATGCTGATCTCATTTCCTTTGGATATATTCCCAGGAGCAGAAAAGCTGGGCCACTTGATGCGTTTATTTTTAGTGTTCTAAGTAATCACCCTACTGTTTCCCATGAACTGATGTACTAGCATCTACTGCTACCACTGGGTATTGCGATACCTTTTTCTTCACATCATTGCCCAACCAGTGTCTTTACTGTTGTGTTTCATGGCTGCATCTATGATAGAGAGAATAGAAATAAAGATTTTTACATGTAATCTCTTACCTTGGTTGATTGGTTAAAGTGCCTGATACATTAGTATGTGTAATATCAGAAATATCAGAAATAATTAAATATAAGAGATGAAAGGATGTGCAGTGTAAGTCTCCCTCCCTTTTTTGACCCTCAAGCACTCAGCTGCCCCTCCCTGGGCAATCGTTGGCACTAAAAAGATTTACAATCAAGAGTATTTCTAAACTGAGTTGCAACAAATGCATGAATATTTTCTCTGTAAACATAGTGTAGATAAGGGCCCAGCACGGAGGTTCAGTGGTTAAGGTTCTTGCCTTGTGCACCCCAGGATCCCATATGGTCACCTGTTCTAATCCCGGCAGACCTGCTTCCCATCCAGCTCCCTGCTTGTGGCCTGGGAAAGCAGTCCAGGACGGCTGCGTGGGAGACCCGGAAGAGGCTCCTAGCTTCTGGCTTCGGATCGGTGCAGCTCTGGCTTTGCGGTCACTTGGGAAGTCAGCCATCGGAAGGAAGATCTTCCTCTCTGTTTCTCCTCCTCTATGTACATCTACCTTTCCAATAAAAATAAATAAATCTTTTTTAAAAAATTAGTGTAGATATAACCCTAGCCACTTGCTTCTCAGGTCTGAGTCTATAACTAAGAAATAAGAAATCTGCCAGGTCTCATTCTCAGATCAGAACTTACTAATAACTTCAGAATGAAAGAGCCAAACACAGATCTCTTTGTTTGCAAAATACATTCCATGCATGTACATGTGCAAGTGCAAGCACACGTTCTCTCCTCTCCTCTTCAATGCAAATGAAAGCATTTCATACCCACTGTTCTGAACCTTCCATATGCAATCACATTTGATATTCTGCCAGTTGTGCTGAAACAACTGTTTAAATTTGTCTGAAGCCTGCACTGTGCAGACTGAAGAGCTGCCATGGTGACTGGCGTGTTCACTGACACAGCACGCCTCTCTCTGGTGACTGCACTTCCCTGTCATGTCTGTTGCAGCCACATGTCAGCCAGAGAAGCTCAGAACTGACCAGCTGCCAGGGCTGTCTCACCCAGGGTGGATCTCAGAGAGGAGACTGCTGGAGGGACTGAGTGTTGCTCACAGTCACGCAGCTTGAGTGCCGGTCCCCCACTGCGTCTGTAGAGTGGGATCCGAGGACTCCCAGTATACGCGTGGGCTTTGAAGGCACATCTACGCAGTTCGGTTGTTAGAGAACCACTAGATTTCCACTTACTGATATATACATCTCCTGAATATCACATTGGCATTAAACTACATGGTTTTTTTTTTTAATTTATTTTTATCGGAAAGTTAGACATACAGAGAGGAGGAGAGACAGTGAGAAAGATCTTCTGTCCACTGGCCACAATGGCCAGAGCTGAGCTGATTCAAAGCCAGGAGCCAGGAGTGTCTTGTGGGTCTCCCACATGGGCACAGGATCCTAAGGCTTTGGACTGTCTTCAATTGCTTTCCCCGGTCATGAGCAGTGAGCTTGATGGGAAGTGGGGCCACCAGGACATGAACCAACATCCATACTGGATCCCAGCACGTGCAAGGCAAGGATTTTAGCCACCATGCTATCGCACACCAGGCCCCTTCATTTTTTTTAAAAAAAAAGAGTTATTTGTTTTTTTATTGCAAAGTCAGATATACACAGAGGAGGAGAAACAGAGAGGAAGGTCTTCCGTCCGATGATTCACTCCCCAAGTGACCACATTGGCTGGTGCTGAGCCGATCTGAAGCCAGGAGCCTGGAATCTCCTCCAGGTCTCCCACACGGGTGAAGGGTCCCAAGGCTTTGGGCCGTCCTTGACTCCTTTCCCAGGCCACAAGCAGGGAGCTGGATGGGAAGTGGAGCTGCCGGGATTAGAACCTGGCCCATATGGGATCCTGGGGCGTTCAAGGCGAGGACTTTAGCTGCTAGGCCACCTCTCCGGGCCCCCCTTCATGTTATTTTAAATTGAGTTTCTCAAAAGTTTGCTATTGATTATTGCTCCTGATTTGAATTATAAGAATTGTTCTAGAATTTGTCCCTAGAGCACTCCTCTGTAACAGGCACACCTGATCTGGAGGCTTGCAGGAGGCCGGGTCCTGCATGGAGCAGGATGGGAAGCTACATAAGGAAGTACTCTAGTCACATTTGTCCCCAAGCAACCAATAATCTAGTATCTAACAAGACACAAACAAAACTAGAATCCACTCTGGATGACTGTTCTTCAGGCCTATACAGCTCAGACATGGCACATTATAGCTGTAAGAGAATTTCAACAGGTTGGCCCAACCCCAGCTTTCATAGATTAAAACAAAACAAAGCAAAAAACCTCTTTCTGAATGGCTACATAACTTGCTCAAAATGTTTCAAGGAAAACACACCAACCTCTTCAAATGATTTCCTGAGATTGAGAATATTAAGGTATGAAGAGTTTTCATGTAAAATTTAGGGCCCAAGCATGAGCTGAGTAGGCTGCTCTGACCACCGAGAGAGCCCAAGCAGGGCAAGAGGGAAGGAGGACACGTGGCCTGCTCCACGCCCTTCCCCCAAGCACAGCTGCCTTTCCCGCAGCAGACTCCCCACCTTTCTTAAAACCGGACGTTGAAGGAATTCTGGGTTGGCATGTCTTCTGATCTCCCCTTTCCAGGTAATGAGGAATCTTTGCTGCTACCAAGAGCTAAACCTTGACCCCTTCTCTAAACGCAAGGGGAAATGGAAGGGGTTTGGTGTTGCAGTCCCCAAGATGAAAATTAAAGATTGGAGGAGCCTAGCCGCCACACCTACATGCTTATCTTGAAATTTACACAGCTGCCTCTGCCCTCAGTCTCACAGTCAAGGCACAGACACTAGACTCGTGTTCTCAGATACAATACAGTAAGCCAGCTCAGTGCAGGCTGCAGCACTGAAGGAAAGCACGGTACAAGAACTCGGCATCATTGGCAAGGAGGAGAGGAGGACATTCCAGGGAACCAGGCCAGGAGAAAAGCACAGGTCCCAGGCTCACAGCCCTTGGCTTAACCCAGGAAGCAACGGAGAAAGGAGCCTGGCCCAGAGCCTGGGGCACACAGGTGGGGGCAGATTGAGCAGAGCCAGAGGTGGGAGGAGCAATATGCGGGGTGTGGAAGAGAAGTGTGGTGTGAAATACAGAAAGGCAACAGGACAGGCTGGAGGCAGAATGATAAACAACCGAGAATTTTACTGATCCTGACATTAAGCCTTTCTACTAGCAATGGAAAAGACAAATCTGAGACTGAAGTGATTGGACGTCATGCGGGATTCCATTTATGAAAATGGAAGCAGAGAGCCCGGCAGGGTGGTCTAGTGGCTAAATGCTCACCTTGCAACTTCTGGAATCCCATATGGGCGCCAGTTGGTGGCCTTGCTGCTCCACTTCCCATCCAGCCCTGGGCTGGCCTGGGAGAGCGGTCGAGGACGGCCCAAAGCCTTAGGACCCTGTATTCAACAGGGGGATCTGGGGGAGGCCTCTGGCTTCGGGTGAGCTCAGCTCTGACCATTGTGGCCATTTGGGGAATGAACCAGCAACTGATCTTTCTTTCCTAATCTTCTTTGTACATCTACCTTTCCTATAAAAATAAATAAATTTTAAAAAGAAAAGAAAATGGAAGTATAAAAGCTCAGACGGGAAGGAAGCTGGGCAAAGCAGTATTGCTTTGCATATGAGAAGAGTCAGAGTTCTGTTTGTTTCTGAGTGGCAGAGAGACAGACAGACCCAGAGCAACTCCCAACAACTTCTAGGCTTACTCCCTAAATACTTGCAGGAGTTGGGGTTGGACTGGACCAGGCTGAAGCTCAAATCCTAGAACTTAATTCAGGCATCAACCTCTTGAGCCTTCTCTTGCTATTTCCCATGATAAGCATTGGCAAGAAGCTGGCATAGCGAGCAAAGCCAGGCTTAGAATCCAGCAGCTCTATTAGGAGATGCAGGCATCTTGGAAAATCTTTCAATTAGCAATAACCGCGCCTCAGATAAACCTCATTGGCTATGATACTGCCACTGCGCAAAGCTGAGATGCAGGCATCTTAACCAGTGGTTTAACCTGGCCTCATGCCCACCCACATTCCTCTTTTAAGTTACTCAGTTTGTCATTAGGGGCAAAGGTGTAAGAACAACCAAGATCATCTAATTTTCCCCAAGGACAAACTTGGAGCTAGGGTTGGAGTGAGAAGTTAGGCTGGGAGCTACTTAATAGGCATCCCACCCACACAGGAGGCTCTCTCTGGAGAAAGATTACCGAGAGTCCAAGGGTTGTACGCAGGAGCCTGAGAGCAAGGTAAGCAGAGGACCAGAGAATGAGACGCGGGAGCTGTCAGAGCCAGCAGGGGATTTGAAACTTGGCCTAAGTATCACTGCCAGATGAGAAAAAAAAAAAAAAAAAATTGCTGATAAAACGATGAAAGTAATCCTGAGCGGGGGAAATAAAACCTTTTAATGTGGTTTAATGGCCACTAGCGGGCTCAGAGAGAACAGTTTTAATACAGTAGGGGGAGACAGACAGATGCAAAGGATTAAGGAGATAAAAAATTGAGGGGTAAAGCAGTTTTTTGGGGTGGAACATTTGCAGACTAATCAAAAACCTGTGAATCTAAAAATATCCTAGTATTTCTGATTTTGTGACTTGAACCTTAGTAGCACATCAAATAGGCCCAGTACATACATACTTTCTTGTGTCTCCAATTACAGCATGTCTGTCTGTGTCTGCCAGTATAGCGTGTCAGTTAATACAGCAAGTCTGTCTACACAGCGTGCCTGCCTGTGCAGTGTGTGCCTGAATAGTTTCCACTTTAGCTTCTGCTTTCTCTTGCTCGCCTACATGCTTATTGGTTTGTTATTCTTTCTATATTTTATAGAAAATCTCATGAACGTTCTGGAATTATCAAATGACTTTTCTTTGCGGAATATCTGTTGATACACATTCCCGGCCAGGCTGAGCTGGCGCCAGGTCAGCAAAGGCCCTGATATGTGGGCTTGCTCCAGGGCCCCCTGACCAGCCCTGCAGGACAATGGAGACCCGCTGTTCCATAATCGTTTCTTTGACTGATGAGAAAATTGAGGCTCAGGGAAGTTGCCTAACTTGGACAAGGTCATACTGCCAATAAATGATAATCATACACATGGGGTTGGATTCTTCTAACAATTGATACTGACAAGTCTTGATTGATTCCCTCTAAGTCCTGAACAATATTTATTTCTGGGGGAAGCCAGATACATAGTTTTCACATTCAGGAACAAAACTTCCAAATCAGATAGGCAGAAAATGACTCTGGGATTTAAATGAGAAATCTGGGATGTTGGGAGATTCAAATGGAAATAAGTGGCATTTGCTTATTGCTTCCATCTGCCTCCCTGTGTGGCCTGGGCACAACACCTGGATATAAATCCAGGCAGATGGAAGGCAAACCCAGGTTTTGGAAGATCTGAATGCAAAATTAAAAATAGAAAATGATGGGGTCAGGATAATAGTATAGTCGGTAAAACTGCTGTTTACAGTGTTGGCATATGGTATGGGAATCAGTTCGAATCCCAGATGCTCCACTTCCGATCCAGGTCCCTGCTAATGGGCCTGGGAACGCAGTGGAAGACATCCCAAGAGCTTGGGGCCTTGCATTTACATGGGAGACCTGGAAAAAGCACCAGGCTTTCAAGATGCCAGCCCCATTGTGGCCTTCTGGGGAGTGAACTGGTAGATGTAAGACACCTCTCTCTTCTCTCTCTCTCTGTAACTTTACATTTCAAATAAATAAACTTTTAGAAAATGAAAAGTTAAAAGGTCATGTAGAAAGGCGACATCAAGCTTAAGTCTCATTAGTTTTGCATTCTTCCCAGTAATAGGTTTTAATTATATTTTCTGGAGCAATAGCATTTTTCAAGTAAATTTCTTCTTTCTAACATATTAAAGTTAGTGAAGGAATATTATACGTGATAATGAAGACATTATAAATCAGTAGTAATGGAGGGGTTATTTAGTTACTTAATGGCTTACTTGCTTAGAAATGTCCTAGATTGGAGCTAATGATGTGGCACAGTAGGTTAACCCTCCCCCTGTGGCACTGGCATCCCAAATGGATGTCAGATCTAATCTTGGCTGATCCACTTCTGATCCAGCTCCCTGATAATAACCTAGGAAAGCAGTGGAGGATGACCTAGTGCTTGCGTCCCTGCATTCATGTGAAACACCCAAAAGAAGCGCCATGCTGCTATAGTCATTTCCACCCAACTCTGACCATTGTGGTCATTTGGGGAATGAACCAGCAAATGAAAGATCTCTCCTCTCTCTCTTACTCTTCTCTCTATGCTGTAACTCTTTCAAATAAAAATAATTTTTAAAAAATATTTATTTATTTTTATTGGAAAATCAGATATACAGAGAGGAGGAGAGACAGAGAGGAAGATCTTCCATCCACTGATTCACTCCCCAAATGGCCGCAATGGCTAGAGCTGAGCCAATCTGAAGCCAGGAGCCAGAAATCTCCTCCAGGTCTCCCACACGGGTGAAGGGTCCCAAGGCTTTGGGCCGTCCTCGACTGCTTTCCCAGGCCACAAGCAGGGAGCTGGATGGGAAATGGAGCTGCCAGGATTAGAACCGGTACCCAGATCAGAGGCATGCAAGGTGAGGACCTTAACCATTTTGCTATCACGCCGGGCCCTAAATAAAAATAATTTTAAAAATAAGGAAATTCCCTAAATCTGCAGAAGTTGAACAATAAGAGAAAAGTATCTTTGTTCCTTGAGAAATTGGGACTGCTTCACTACGGGAACTGAGTCAGTTGCAATATTTGTAAATGTACCAAGAGACCGGGAATTAAAGCAGAGTAGAATCCAGAGTCTGCTGGAGGTACCCTACTGAAGCTAACAAAGACTGAGCCGGACAGCTGAACCACCGAGGCTAGTAACCACCAAGGGAAGGACAGAGAACCAGTAAGTCCCGCTGATGGAAGAGAGTGCAGCAGGCAGCGCGTGCAGAAGGCAGAGGGTGGTCCCCAGGGAGCCACTGGCCGTTGTAGATGGAATCTGGCCCTACAGAAATGCCTTACCTACCTTGCCTGCTCATCCGACTCTCCTGCCAGGGGTCTAGCTGTGCACCTGGGAAAAAGGAAGGCCGCACGGAGAGGCCTCCCTGGGCTTCCTTCCTCAGTCTATTCCTACCAGGAACTACCTTTTCTGTCCAGTCACATTTCTACCTGCTTGTCCATTCTCCATCAAACCTAACTCTGGGTCTCTGGGTTTTCGTTTCTGAAGTCTCTTGTGTCACACTAATAAATGTGCCGTGCTTTTCTCTTGTTAACCTGCCTTTTGCTACACAAGTGTCGGGCAGGAGCCTTGTGATGGATAAGGAAAGACAGTCACATTGTGCTCTTACATTAAATATAATAATATATAATTTTTACTTATTTTATATTTATGTTACATTTATAGCTTAATGTGATAATTATATTTATATAATCATTATTTGCATAATACTAATAAGTATTAATTACTTTCAGCTGTGTGAGCTCTAATTGGGAAATATAGAGAGATGGAGTCGTTTATTGGTAGGGACAGAAAATGCAAGTTGCCATGAAGTAGGGTTGAGTCATGTAAATCAAGCTGTGTGCATGCCCAAGTTGGGACAGGACAGAAACCAGAAACAAGCAGGGGCAACCTGTCAGTCAACAGAGGGGGAGAAGACACACACAGTGGCGCAAGCGGAAGACAGAGAAATCCTGGAGCACTTGAGAAAGTCGAGGAATGGCCCGTCTGAGATGGTCATACCGTATCTGGTCATTCGCTCCACTTGACAAGGGCCTCATGGCAACTCAAAGGTGTAAGGAAAACTGGACTCATAAGACTAGACTAGGCACGATTCTGAGCTCTTCGTTGATGTTTGTACCCAGCAGTTGCAAAGCAGCAATTAGCTTCAACAAGAGTTTCCAAGCGTCTCCTGAAGGCTGAGGAGAAGCCCTTTAAGCCATGCGGGGAGGTAAGGAGAAGGTGCCATCAAGGAGGGCTGTCGGCAGAGAGTGATGCCAGCGTTGCATCCTAAACAACAAGTTGAAAAGTGTGAGAAAAGAGTGCAGATAATTGAGACAGGATGGACACCAGGAGAGGAATCCAAAGCCAGAAACAGCTTGGTGTACACAGAGAAGTACAAGCCAGGCTGCTGAGTGAGGAGGGCGGCACGTGGGCAGTGGGGATTTGGGAAGCTGGGCAGGACATTCAACAATAGCTTACTGAGCATCCACTTTGAGCCAAAGAGAGTGGGCACAGCGGCAACATCCCTCTCCTGCTGAAGCATGCTATTCAGCCGTGGCGGCAAGGACCTTCAAGCAAATAAACTGCTTAAATAGAAATAGCAACTACACAGTGAAAGAAAGCAGGGAAAGGCAATGAAGCCTGGTCAGGAACGCTGGTTTAGATATTTGGTCAGAATAGGAGATGACATGTGAGCAGAGAATTACACAAAGATAGAGAGAAGCTGTTGAGAATTTTTCAAAGCAGATTTAGGCAAAAAGTTATCTAGGCTAGAAACAATGCAGAACTGGTCGAGACGGAGGCAAGGAAGCAGAGTTCTAAAACACGGATGAGATAAACTGGTCTCACCTATGTTTAGATATAGGGTATGACAAAACGACAGCAATGAAGAACAAGACCTAGCTTAGGGAGAAGGGAAGACAGGTGGTCCACTGACTACGACAAAGGGCAAGGAGAAGAGCAGGCTGGGGAGCAAGAATCGTTTGGAATGATGGAGGCCAGAGTACAGGTCCCTGGTTGGGAGTACTCCTGGGGGAGCGGAGGTCTGGCCTGGAGATCTGGATTTGGGTTTAAGTGGCACCTTTAGCTGAGATTGCCCACAGTCAACTGTTGGCCAGTGACCTGGTGCCAGGCCATGTGGCAAGTCCTGAGGGAAATCACTTTTTAATGGGGACAGGGAAAAACATCTCCAAATAAATAAAACGATTGCAAGTGCTGATGATAGGATCTATGCAGAAAAAAAGGCCATGAGATAGAAAAACAGAAGTGGGTAGGGGTAGTTGCAGAGAATACTTAGCCAGGAGGTGCCCTCTGCAAGGACACGCTGTATGAAGCAAAAGCTGAATATACATAGGACACTGTTTTGCAAAAAAATTTGCATAAGGACCTCTTCACGCAAAAGAACTAGGAAGTCCCTTAGTCCTGGGATGGGAACAGACTTGGTGTGTCTGAGAGACGAATGAGAAGTTGAAGTAAGCAGAACAGGAAGCGTGAACTGGGTGGACACAGACAGGGAGGAGTTGGGTTTGATCCCAGCAGTGTGTACAGAAGAGAACAGAAAGTTATGTGAGCAATGCCAGAAAACAGCCTGTGGGCAAAGTAAATGTGGCATCCAGGAAGCTGGGCAAGGCTGGACTTCCAAGAAGCAGGTATTCCACTGGCCAGCAGCAGTGACTTGGGCTTATGTTCCCAACACAGAGCAGCCTCTGTTTGCTGTGGCTTCCTGGAAAGCATCCTCCAGTCCTTCAGAGCGTGCTTACATGCCTTAGGGCCCCGAGAAGGCCACCTGCCCTGCCACCACTCCCCGATTCCTTCTTCCAATGGAATGCCTCTAGTTTCCATCATAATACACTGTCTGCATTAAATCAATGTCCTCAGAACTGTTTTAAGATAGCTGCCAAAAACATTTCAGCATTACTACAACCACTGAGCAGATGAGAAAACAGCAGGGGACAGAAACTAAGCAGCTTCTCCAAGCCAACCAGAGCGGAAGCTGGAAATAGCTTCCGGGCTTGCCTTTCATTTGGCATCTACGTAGCTCTGCTTGGGGGGAGCTGTCATTAGCAGTTTGATGGATAGACAATTGCAGTGATGGATGGAAACCTTAAACTGCTTCTTCTGATCCCCAGGCACCACACTTCGCTTGGACGTCTGGGATGGATGGAAGGAATTTCTGATGGGTTGCCTCCTTGGACAAAAAATGAAAGTCGAGCGCTATCTAGCAAAAGAAGAACCAGTGCTGAAGTATGTGAGAGGAGGCAAATGCTACATTCATTTCAGTAATTTAAAAACTCATTTGTTGGACCATGAGCCTGAAATTCACCATGCAGCTGATGGTGGTCCCATGCTAGTTCTCGTTAACATGTCTCCGTCAGATGTTATCAGTAACATTTGATAAAGCAGGACAGAGGGATATAGGTGGGGCTGAGAGCCCTTGGTGATGGGCTGCAATTCAGGTTGGTAATCTTTTTTTTTTTTAAAGATTTATTTTTATTAATTTTTATTGGAAAGGCGGATATACAGAGAGGAGAGATAGAGAGGAAGATCTTCAGTCCGATGATTCACTCCCCAAGTGAGTGCTACGGCCGGTACTTCGCCGATCTGAACCCAGGAACTAGGAACTTCTTCCAGGTCTCCCACACATGGGTGCAGGGTCCCAAAGCTTTGGGCCATCCTCGACTGCTTTCCTGGGCCACAGGCAGGGAGCTGGATGGGAAGCAGGGCTGCCGGGATTAGAATCGGCGCCCATATGGGATCCCGGGCGTGCAAGGCTAGGACCTTAACCACTTGCGCCACTGCGCCGGGCCCTAGGTTGGTAATCTTGAAAAATCACCTAATGAAGTGGGTGACTTTGTGTTTAGTTTGCTGTCCAACTTATACCAGTTAAAGGTTGTCATAACAGAGTAAGTACTTTGCCTTCCTCACATTCAGTTATTCTAAAAATAAGAGCACCTACAGATCGCCACGTTCCTAGGCTCTTTTCTTCTTTTCTTCTTTTTTTTTTGTTTTAATGTAAAATTTTATTTTTATTTTGACAATCTCTACATAGTTAATTAGGGTAAGAAGGTTCAAGGGCTACAGGAAAGTGGATAATACTAGTATGTTTTCCATATTGTTACCTTCATGTTTAAAGGGGGTATTAAGGGAGAAGGCCCACCCAATTTCCCACCCTCCCCAGGTCCCAGATGTAGGGCATGCTCTGAGGTTCTTGCTCAAGTGGTTTTGATATTGCAACAGTTATGAATTGCTGTCTATCTTGCCACTCCAAGCACTATGAGGTCTTTGAAAAATCCACTGATTGACATAGTCCATCATAGCTTAGATGGTTGGTTGACCTGTTCTGTCTTCTCTCTTTTCTTCGTTAGGGTTCTGAGTCCAGCATTTAGATTAGGAAGATCTCCAAAGAAACTTCTTGTACGTGCTAACAAATACAGGGCCTGGCACCGTCCATCGCCCCGATCAGCTGGTGGTTGCAATTGCTGGGTTGGTTCTGTTTTCACTCCTGACTTCCACTGGAACCAATGGGCGTTGCAGTCCAGCCTGGTTCTGCCCAGCACATACTTGGCCCTCACATAAACAAGTGGGAGCTGCAGCCTAGTTGGAGCGACCCACAATAACCCCCACCAGGCCCGCCCCCTACCCTGCTTTGCCAGTAAGTATAGCAGTAATCCAGTCTGTCCCACACCCCATTCCACCCCAGCTGCTATCTTAGTTTTATGTCTTCCTGTGGAAGTGGTAACCCAAGAGGGATGAACCCACTATTTCCCTCCCAGGCCTCTCCCACTCCCAGATTCCAGCTGATGCTGTGTCTAAGCCCAAACAACCCTCGCCCACTTTAATTTTGTTTGCACCAGTAGGAATAATCAGCCCAGCCCAGCTTTTCCCGTTGCACTCACTTGGGGAGTGAATCATCGGACTGAAGATCTTCCTCTCTATATGGATGAGGTGCACAGGTGTGGTAGCTCTGCCTAGTCTGGTCTGCCCCCATCCCAACCTATGCTCTCCTGTGGAAGTAGCTGTCCAGCAAAGGAACCCTCCCTTATTCCCCTGCCGGCTCTGCCCACTTCCTTTCTTGTTCCCAGGCTGGTTGGGCGCTGCGGTCCCTTCCGGTACAGGCAACCTCACCTTGGCATTCCGTATTGTGCACTAGTCTTTGTTGCGACCGAACCTGGGTCGACCCACACTGGTGCCTGGATTTGCCAGTGGATGACGTGGACAGATTCAGCCTGGTCTTGTCCCCACGTCTGCCAATTGTATGCCAGTGTGTAGCTTTCCATGGCCTTTTCCGGGCTGTTTCCTATCATGTTTCTTGCACTTACCTGCTGGATCTGTGTCCTGCCAGAGGATTTGCCCAGGCTCCTCCATCAGAACCTCTCCCAATGCCAGGTTACACGCTTACCAGTGGGTCCATGAGCCAACCCTACTCAGTCCACCTCCTGTCATAGCAGGAACTGTGGCTTTTCCTGACTGGCCTTCCACCCAATCTGGTTCTTGCTGTTGGATGTTCCAGCCCAGCCATGGTTTGTCCATACCCACATACGGCTCACACATGGTTCAGTAGGGGTTTGAGACCTTGCTTAGTCCATCCCACATCTGCCCTGGTCCTCCAGGACACCAGGAGGTGTTGGGGTCTAGCCTGGTTCGGTGCATCCAATCCCAGTCCATACTTGTGCCAAGGGAGACTACAACCATATCCTGATCAGAACGCAGCCCCCCTTCCAGGCCACGCGCCTCTTGGTGGGAACCTCAGCCCAGCTAGGGTTGTCCCCTTTGCTCCCCAACCGTGCCTGTTCCCAGCCATAGATCACTTGCCTGCCAGTGGATGCTCTGACTCAGCTTGGCACAGCCCCTCCCCTGTCCCGACCTCTGCCTTAGACACTGTGGCTTAGCGTCCCTGGCTCCCGCAGACCAGTAGGTATAAGAGCCTAGCTCGGCATGACCTCTGCTCCCTCCTGGTTTCTAGTTTTACTTGTGGGCTAAGGTTTGCTCAGTCGTCCTAGGCTCTTTTCTAAGCTGAAGTTAGCACAAGCATCCACACCTCCACGAAACATGAAGTGTCACGTGACTGACTGTGGCAGGGAAGGACAGGAAGCTTGCAGCATCAGCAGGGGAAAGGCACGACACTGTTAGGATGTATTGCAACAGCGGCTTCCCAAGTCCCTAAATGTCATTAACTGTTTGATTTAATTCAGTGGTATCTTAGAGCAGTGCCCCCTTGTGGATGACTTAATCAGGTTCCAGGGACATTCACATACCCAATGTAAACTTGGGTGAGTTATGTAAACATCCTGCACCTCCAATTCCTCTTCCATAAGATGCAACTGACAGTGTCTATCATGTACTCTTTTACAGATCACATGACTTAATAATCTTAGGGAATTTAAAAGGGCACTTGACGAAGGGTGCTAGGTGTGGCTGCTGCTACCAGTCAGGGTAACAAGTGCTATGAGAGCAGAGGTGAGGGCCCAGCATGGTAATCTAGCAGCTAAAGCGCTAGGGTTCCATATGGATAAATGTTCACGCCCCAGTGGCCCTGCTTCCCATCCAGCTCCCTGCTTGTGGCCTGGGAAAGCCAGTTGAGGATGGCCCAAAGCATTGGGACCCTGCACTCATGTAGGAGAGCCAGAAGAAGCTCCTGGCTCCTGGCTCTGGATCAGCTGAGCTATAGCCCTTGTGACGACTTGGGGAGTGAACCAATGGATGGAAGATCTTCCTTTCTGTGCTCTTCTTTGCTCTTCTCTTCTCTTCTCTGTGTATCTTCTGTATATCTGCCTTTCCAAATGAAAATAAATAAATCTTAAAAAAAAAAAAAAAGAACACAGGTGATACAGGAATGCACAGTATGGCTAATCAACTGGGCTTACTTCCTGAGAAGGAGCTTTGAGACCTAGACAGAAAGCAGAACAAAATTGCTCCAAAACAGATGGCAGTATATAGACAAAAGCCTGGAGGAAGAACTAGATGGGAAGAAATGTAGGACAAGTGGCAGGTAGAAAGACAGGATAGCACCTGGTGCAGGCCCAAGGAAGAATGTAAAAGAATTTGCTTTTTATCTTTCAGATGTTGAGAAGACACTGGGAGGGGAGGGCCAAGATGAGATCTGCCTGTAGGAAGGCGGCTCCTCCTGCATCACGAAGGACACAGCCCAACAGCCGGACAAGGGAGGCAGGCAGATGGCAGCCTGGGCAGGCCAATGGCAGCAGCAGTGAGGGGGGCTGACTATGAAGAGGTATATCAGGAAGTCCAATCAACCAGTGTAGAGAACAAATTACACAGGAGATGATAAGGGCAAGAAGAAATAGACAGAGATGAGCTCCAGGCCCGCAGTTTGAATAGTGCGAGTCTGTTCATCCAGGAAGAACACACCGTCCCAGGAGCCAAGCGTTGGGGAGAACAGATGTTCAGTCCCAGGTGTGTCACACATGGAGCATTGACTGGATCCACTCACGAGACTGTAGATGTGTGAAGGAGAGGTGCCCAGCCACCCAGCGCGCTCAGGGGGCATGTCTGCAGCCTATCTAGGAGGCAACTCTTCAGCCCAGATCAACATCAGAGATGCTAATATGCAATTAGAAAATGAAAAGGAAACTGATAGTGAATGAAATGCTAGCATACTCATTGATAGACTGGAGGGTCCAGAGGGCCAGAGATCTAGGCAGTGCATCTTCTCCATAGAGAAGAGTACCTGGGAAGCCACATACAGATCATCAGGCAGGTGGAGGGCGTACAGTCAGAACCAGGAGAGCCCACTGGGTGCAGTACAATGAGGATGGTGTCAGATTGCTCTGTCTCCATGATTATAAAACACTGACACCCTTGCACAAGGGCGCCCCAAACAATACCTGCCAAGATTTGGTCCCCTAGTTCTCTCAGCCGTTAGCCATCACCTAACTTAGGCCTTCTGAGCTATGAGAGGTGATCCAGCACAGCAAAGGAGGAAGGGGGCTGAGGGAAGGAGCTGGAAGAGGCTGAGAAGGGGCCATGTTTCCACAGGAGCACCTGGGTACCCCAGTTCCTGCCAATGCAGACCCTGGGGGGCACTGCTAATGACTGAGTTGGACTCCTGCCATCCACAGAGGAGACCAGGAGTGAATGTTTGGCCTCTGGCTTCAGCCCCAACTATCACAAACATCTAAGGAGTAAACTAGTAAATGCGAAACCCACCCCTGTCTTTCTCTTTGCTGCCTCTTAAATAAACAAATAACCAACTTCCAGTTATTTTTTTTAATTATTTATTTTAATTATTTATTTTTATTAGAAAGGCAAACTTACAGTTTCTTCCGGGTCTCCCATGTGGGTGCATGGCAGACTTGTAGTCATCCTATACTGCTTTCCCAGGCCACAAGCATGGAGCTGGGTGGGAAGTGGAGCAGCCGGGACATGAATGGGTACCTATGTGGGATCCTGGTACATGCAAGGCAAGGATTTAACCACTGAGCCATTGCGCCTAGCCCAATAACTTTTAAAAACTAATAAACTGCACTGGAGAGTTATTGGAAGGTTTTAAAAAAGAGGACAGGCACCCTGCAATGTGTGGAATAATAATAATCATCATAGTTATGTGACAAAAACCCATAGAAAAATAAGAGAAGGTAGCAGATGACCCGAGACAGTGCAGCCTTAGTTGGGGAGGGGATAAGAGACAAAGACACGGAGAAGCCCCAAAATAAGGTCTGTTGGAAAAGGCAAAGTGAATATACAAGACTTTAACCCACCAAAAACGTGCTGCATTGCTTCCAGTATCTTCTCATTTCCTATAAAGCTCGATACTTTTTCCAAACAGTTGATTTTTAGAAGAAACACAATGTCTCAAAGGAAAGCAGTTTGTATTATTCACTTGCGCATATTAGGACAATGTGCACAAGCAGGACCTTCGAAGTCACATTATGAGGTACCTTATCCAAAGACAAGTTTTAGACAAAAGGAAAGAAACAAACATTGTGATTGCAATGTTCAGAGCTATTTAGTCCAATCAGGTCTGTTTTTCTGGCTTCCTCAACAACATCCTCTGCTTGTTTCACTCAGATACCAGAGAAGGGTGGTCCTGTACATCGCCGCCTTCCACGGCTACATCGAACTCACGGAATGGGCCCTGAAGCAGGGTGCGCGGCCCCACGAGGCGGTCGGGGTCCACCCCTACCGAGCTTGGTGCCAGGAAGCCCTTCATGCAGATGTCTCTAAATGCCCCATTCATGCAGCTGCAGAAGCCGGCCAGCTGTTGATTCTGAAGGCTTTTGTCCACTGCAGCGTGCTGTGCCTGGAATGCACAAACGCGGCGGGCCACACCCCCCTGACCATCGCCTTCAAGCACAGGCACAAAGACTGCGTATTATACCTGCTGAGCAAAATGTGGTCCACGGTTTCCTTTCCGAAAATCTCAGTCCCCATGAGGATTTATATTAAAATCAAACAATGGGTCCTCAGAGCTCAGAGTCGCAGCCTGCCTAGGAGCCAGCTTTGTGGAAGAAGGCTGTTGGGGGCAAAAGTGGGAGACGCAGTGATGGTGGATGGTTTCACGGAACCGAAGATGACCTCCAGGAGCTGGCATCAGGCCGAGAGCAAGCACTCCCGCAGCACCTTGCACAAGCTCCCGCCTCTCCAGGAGCGTGCTCAGGGCAGGAAAGCTGTCCATTCCTGGGCATCCTCGCAGCCGGACACGAAAGGACAACCACTCCAATTTCCTCCACTGATGAATGCTAATCTGTCCTCTGTATTACAACACAGTCAGCAACAAAGTCAGAAAAAAGCCGCAGCCAGGAAAAAAGAGAAGCTCATAAAAAATGCGTATCTCCCCGAAGTGCCCCTCCCTGCAGTTTCACGAGTTGGATATTCACACCCATCATTTTACTACGCAACTCCCAGTGCGGACTTCTTCCTAAGGGCCTCCTTTGCACCCTTCACACAGCACAGCGGCAGGACTCCAAGGGAGAACGCCATCTACTGCTTAGCCACGGCCAGGTAACGCTTTCCTTTCCCAGCCCTTGCAGGGGTGTGTGTTCTTTCTTAAGAGACACAGAAACAGGAAGAGACAGAGAGTTACACTGTTGTGCCACTCTCCGGATGCCTGCGATGGCTGCTACCAGACAAGGCAGAAACTAGGACCCAGGCGCCACGTCCATGGCTGCCAGATGGGTGTCAGGGACCCAACTGTTTGAGCTGCTGTCTCCCAGGGGTGTGCATTAGAAGAAATCAGAAGCCAGAATCGGGCATTGAACACAGGCAGTTGGATATGAAAGTAGACATCTTAACCATTATATCAAATACCTGCCCTGCCAGGGCAAACAATTTATAAAAAAATTTTTTTTTTTTTTTAAATTTGAAGGGTGGAATTGGAGAGTGGCTGTGAGAAAGAGAGAGACTTTCTATAGCTAGAGTCACTCCCCAGGTGGCCACAATGGCTGGGGTTGAGCCAGGCTGAAAGGCAGCTGTCAGGAGAGGATCCTTCCAGGTCTCCCATGCAGGGGGTAGGGGCCCAAATACCAGGGCCATCTTCTGCTGCCTTCCCAGGTCATTAGCAGGAAGTTGATTCAGAAGTAGAAGCACCCAACTGGACTCAACTGGAACGCTGGTGTCGAAGGTGGTGGCTTTACCCACCATGGCACAATGGCCAGGGTTACTTAATGAGGGAATTAGGATAGGGAATGAAACCCTACTCTGTCACAAAAAATAGTGCAATTTATTCCAACACACCACTGCCCAGCTTCGAGGACCTCACCAGCCTTGTGTATGGCCCAAGTAGAGCTGACCCTGTCGAGCAATCCAATCCAATCCACCTTGACCTTCAAACTTTTAGGAGAATATAGAATGCTGGGAAGAACTATTAATGGAATCAGCAATTCTGTGAGCGGATAAAGCTACCACCTGTGATACTGGCATCCCACATGGGCACAAGTTTGCATTAATTGTTGCACTTTTTAAAAGTTTTATTAATTAATTAATTTATTGGAAAAGCAGAACTATATATGGACAGATGTTACGCCTGCTGATTCACTCCCCAAGTGGCCACAATGGCCGGAGCTGAATCTATCCAAAGACAGGAGCCAGGAGCTTCCTGCGGGTCTCCCTCATGGGTGCAGGGTTCCAAGGCTTTGGGCCATTCTCGACTCTTTTTCCCAGGCCACAAGCAGGGAGCTGGATGGGAATGAAATTGGAGCAGCCAGGACACAAACTGGGACACATACCGGATCCCGGCACGTGCAAGGCAAGGATTTCAGCCACTAGATTACCACACCAGGCCAGGCTATTGTACTTTTGATCCAGTCCCTGCTAATGTCCTGGGAAAAGCAGCAAAATGACCAAAGTGCCTGGGCCCCTGCCATCCACGTGGGAGACCTGGATGGAGTTCCTGGCTCCAAGCTTCAGCCTGGCCCAGCCCTGGCTATTTAGACATCTGTGAACTAAGCCAAAAGATGGAAGATTCATATCTCTCTCGCTCTCTCACTATTTAGAATATATATATTTAAAATGTGCCAATTATCAAGGCCCATGGCTACTCATTAAAGACAGAATGGGAATGGGAGCAACAGCATAGCGTGCTAATCCTCTACCTGCAGCACCATCATCCCATATGGGTGCTAGTTTGTGTCTCAGCTGCTCCATTTCCAATCCATCTCCCAGCTTATGGATTGGGAAGGCATCAGAGGATGGCCCAAATCAGAGGGTGCCTGCACTGACCTGGGAGACCGGGAAGAAGCTCCTGGCTCCTGATTTTGGATCAGCTCAGCTCAAGCCATACGGCGATTTTTGGAGTGAACCAGCAGATGTCTCTACCTCTCGCTCTCCGTAACTCTGACTTTCAACTTCAAAATATAACTAAATCTAAGGTGGGGGCAGGGAGGGGGAGAAAGAAGAGAGAACCTTGAAATACGAGGAGACAGCAAATGTGCCATTGAAAACAGGTGGTAAGGAACGTGGAAGGAAAGATAGGAATAAGTTGAGAACTGATCAAATTCATAAAGACATTAATTGGCTTACTAAGCAAGATATGCAGGTGTAGGATTCCAGGGGAAGGCAGGGTGCTGGAACTGGCAATAATATTGAAAGTGAGTGAAAAAGACAATCCATCATCATACTTACAAAGATAAGCACCACATCAGAAACAGACCTTTCAGGCAGATTCACTAAATCAGGTCAATTTTAGTCATGAAATTTCACTGAAAACACAAACTTCTGACCAGATCTCAGATGCCACTCATCACTTGTGAGGTATTATTGGATGCCGATGTTATAGGAGAAACACACAGTTATGCTGACATCTTCCTTGGTCAGTAACATCAGAAGCAAAGAAGCAGCAGCTAAACTGCTTTGTTTGCCTATTGGAATTTTGGAATGACTTTAATCTCAGCTAGGCTACTGCCACCTAGTGGTGACGGTGTTTTGGACAGTGTGGCAAAATTCAAAATTTAACACAATGAGACTGATAGTTAAGAAATTGCATAACAACTTCAATCTTTGTAATTTGTGAGCTACCTGTGATTAAAATTAATTTTTTAAGATTCATTTTTGTTTTCATTGGAAAGGAACACTTACACAGGGAGAAGGAGATACAGAGGAGAAAGATCTTCCAACTGCTGGTTCACTCCCCAAGTGGTTGCAATAGCTGGAGCTGAGCCAGTCTGAAGTCAGGGGCCAGGAACTTCCTCCTGGCCTCCAACACGGTTGCAGGGTCCCAAGGTTTTGGGGCCATCCTTGACTGCTTTCCCAGGCCAGGCAGGGAGCTGGATGGGAAGTGGAGCAGCCATGACACGAACTGGAACCCATACGAGATCCTGGCACATGCAAGATGAGGACTTTAGTCACTAGGTTAACACACAGGACCCATGACTAGAATTTATGAAAAGACACATAAAACTCTTGGAAATTATTAAATTAAAAATTATACATACAGACCACCTTACAATGAAGCCGTAAACCTAATAATGAAAAGATTGATGCATTATATCAACAGAAACAGAATTGAAATGAGTTCATTTTTGCTGGCATTCAGTCCTTACTTATGGCTTCACTGAAGTGGCAGGCACGATGGAAAATGTGTACAAGTAGTTATGTGTTTCAGGTGAACACGCAGTGGTTTCGGGTGAGAATGTATGCCAGTTTTCTATGACATAGGACACCTCCTCAGGGGGGAAATGCGTTATGACACATACAACAGAGTGCAGTGGAACGCTGACCGCATGCATGACCTTGAATTTTTACATTTGTGGACACGACCAAATCGCTAACCAGATCAAAAACACTTTCCAGACTTTCCAACTTGCCCTCCTGCCCCTGAGCAGTCAAGCATCCCCTTAGATAGAACCACCTTTTGATCCCTGGCACCAACGGCACATTGTTCCTGAACCCCCTACAAAGGACGTCATGGCATCTACTCCTTTATGTTGGCCCTTGCATTGGATACATTTCCCCTGACGTTCACGTTCTCCTTGTGTGTGCTAGTTGTTAACTCGATGCAGCATTTGACTTGTTCTCCTACTGATGCCAGTTTCTAATTTGGAAGCTATTCTGAAAAAAAAAAGTACAGTTATTCTTATATGTGTGCTTGGAGGGCATATGCATATATTTCCCTTGACTGTATGCCTAGGAATGAATTAATTGCTGGATCATCAGCTAAGTTTATCCTTAGCTTCATAAACAGTTCCAAATAGCTTTCCAAAGAGGTTGTACTAGCTTGCTGTTTTTATATTTCATGCGGATTGGAGTTAATCAAGAGGAGTCAGTTTCAAGGTCAAGAAGGAAATTGTATCAAAGGAAGCAGTTAATGTGGGGTGGAGCTTTAGGGTAGTGGTTAAGTCATCACACGGGATGTCTACGTCCTGTACCCAAGGACCTGGCTTAAATTCTAGCTCCTCCACTTCCAATTTTGCTCCTCAGATAGTATATCTTGGGAAGCAGCTCATGACTCAAGCATTTGTATTCCTGCCATAAGCATGGCAGAGCTACGTGGAATTCTGTGTTTCTGACTTCCATCTGGCCCAGCCCTGGTTGATGAGGGTACTGGGGGAGTGAATCAGCAGACAGAGGACAATGAAGGGAGACTTGTAGAAGAGATGGCCAGTTTGATTGCGGACTTACTCTGGCAGAATTCCTCCAAGCAAATCATTTCCCTGTATCTCTTTCCCCCAAATCTTCTTAAGACATTTTTTTTTCATTTTTATTGCAAAGTCAGATATACAGAGAAGAGGAGAGACAGAGAGGAAGATCTTCCGTCCAATGATTCACTCCCCAAGTGAGCACAACGGCGGCGCTGCACTGATCCAGAGCCAGGAGTCTGGACTGCTTTCCCAGGCCACAAGCAGGGAGCTGGATGGGAGGGGGAGATGGAGGGGAGGTGGAGCTGCCAGGATTAGAACTGGCGCCCATATGGGATCCCAGTGCATTCAAGGCGAGGACTTAAGCCGCTAGGCCATGGCGTGGAGCCCTCTTCCAAATCTTTATTCACATCCTCTGTTTCACTCCTTTATTTCCATTCCTTTTGCCTGCATCTGCTCCAGGATCTATTCCACCTTCCTTTGTTGGTGGGCTGTGAAGGGGATGGACAGACGTACAGCCTCAGGCCCGTGCATACTCTTCAGTCTGGTCCTTCTCTACCTAAAACAGCCAACCAAACCAGGCAGTCGGGGGGCCAAGTGCTCATCTGTCAACGAGTCCAGCTCTGTGCCATAAAGACACAGACACAGGGAACAGACATGTGCTATTTTGGCTGTTCCATGCACAAATACCCTGCTTATATCAAACCCAGAAGAGGAGGAAAAACTTAATGGAACCCTTCACGATGTTGGTCCTTAGAATTTGATCAAGGTGGGGAGAAATCGCATCGTGTTCTTGGTGGTAGAAGAAGTGTGGCATCTTCCCAATCAGGGCCTGGATGCCTCAGCTGGCATGGGGAAAAAGAGCTTGCTGTACCACATGTCACTAGGGCACTCCAGACACATGAAAATATACCTGTCAGAACTGCCTCGGAGGCCCCTGCGCTGCGTGGCCTAGTGGCTAAAGTCCTCACCTTGAACACGCCCGTATGGGCACTAGTTCCAATCCCAGCAGCTCCACTTCCCATCCAGCTCCCTGCCTGTGGTCTGGGAAACCAGTAGAGGATCGCCCAAAGCCTTGGGACCCTGCACCCATGTGGGAGACCCGGAAAAGCTCCTGGTTCCTGGCTTCAGATCAGCGCAGTACCAGCCATTGCGGTCACTTGGGGAGTGAATCATCGGACAGAAGATCTTCCTGTCTCTCCTCCTCTCTGTATACCTGACTTTGCAATAATAGTTTAAAAAAAATAGTTAAAAGAAAGAATAGACTTGTCTGGGCCCGGCATGATAGCCTAGAGGTTAGAGTTCTTGCCTTGCAGGAACCAGGATCTTATGTGGGTGCCAGTTAGTACCCCAGCTTCTCCACTTCCCTTCTATCTTCCTGCCTGTGGCCCGGGAAAGCAGTTGAGGATGGCCAAAAGCCTCGGGACCCTGCACCTGTGTGGGAGACCCAGAAGCAGCTCCTGGCTCTTGGGTTCGGATCAGCTTGGTTCTGACTGTTGAGGTGACTTGGGGAATGAACGAGTGAATGGAAATTCTCTCTATCTCCTTCTCCCTGTAAATCTGCCTCTCTAGGAAAAAGAAATAAATCTTTTTTAAAAAATGGACTTGCTGGACTAAAGGATAATGATGACCAGAAGCATCCAGCTAGAGATGGCAACATGGTCCAACATTGGACCTTCTTACAGATTATGTCTTGTTATCTTGCAGTGCCTTTAAAGAGAAACGGTGGCTTCAGCAATTAGGAATAGCAAGAGTCTTGGCTAAGAAGAGCATCTCCAACCTAACTCCCCAAGGAGGCCTGAGAGCACGTGAGAATCCTGCAGGAACACTGCTTTGAAAAGGCACGACAGCCTCAACGAGGGCCAACACCTGATCCAACAGCATATGCAGGACGGATGTCCACACTTACAAAGCAGTCAACCCTCGAGAACGCTAACAGCTTTAACATTACATGACATTCAACCAGCCGTTCAGTACTTAACATCATGTTTTCTTGCACTCTACCACTCTAAGTCAAAATTTGGGGCTGTGTGTACATGTGCGTGTGTGTGTGTGTGTTGTTGATAGGAGGCTGCAGCAGTAGTTGCTGCAGGGGTACAGGGACTGAGAGGAACGGAAACAAGGATGGGACTGGGAATTGGACGTATTCGAGAGGCAGGGAGACATTGAGGGAGAAAGGGAGAGCTCTTACCCACTGGTTCACTTTCCAGATGCTGACAACATCTGGGGCCGCGCCAAAGCTAGGAGCCAGAAACCCAATCCAGGAGTGCCACGAGTGAGGATGGCAGGGCTCAGCCGCATCGTCACCGACGCGTCCCTGGATATGCCTCACTAAGATGTTGGGATCTGCTGTGACAGGCAAGGTCTTGAGTAGTATCTTAAACGCTAGATCCAATAGCTATTCCTGCACTAAGAAATTTCCTTTTGTTTGTTTCTGTCAGTTTAATTTTCTTTGACATTTTAAGCTATCTGAATGTAGAACATAAAAAATTAAAAAAATTTTTTTAAAATATTATACACAGGAATCCCTTAGGAAAGTTACAAGTTCTATCCAGCATTAGTTCTATACTCAGAGTTTCTGAACTGCTAAAATTTTACTTAGCATTTTTTGTTTTTTGAGAGATTTATTCATTTTTATTGGAAAATCAGATATAAGAAAGAAGGAGAGACAGAGACGAAGATCTTCCATCCACTGATTCACTCCCTAAGTGACCGCAATGGCTGGAGCTGAGCTGATCTGAAGCCAGCAGCCTGGAACCCCAGGTCCCCCATGCGGGTATAGGGTCCCAAGGCTTTTGGCCATCCTCGACCGCTTTCCCAGGCCACAGGTAGAGAGCTGGATGGGAAGTGGAGCAGCCAGGATTAGAACTGGCACATGCAAGGCGAGGACTTTCGCCACTAGGCTATTGTGCTGGGCCCACATTAATATTTCTAAAAAGATTTTATTTATTTCCTTTCAAAGTCAGATTTTACACAGAGAGAAGGAGACAAAGATAGACAATAGGATCTTCCCTCTCCTATCCCACTCCCCCAATGGCAGCCACAGCTAGTGGTGGATGAGGCCGAAGCCAGGAGCAGGAGCCAGAAGCTTCCTCTAGGTCTATCATTAAAGTCACAGGGTCCCAAACACTTGCCCCATTCTCCACTTTTTTTCCCATCCCATAAGCAGGGAGCTGGGTAGAAAGTAGAGCAGCCAGGACACGAACTAATGCCTATATGGGATCCTGGCACTTGCAAAGTGAAGATTAGCCAGTTGAGCCATTGTGCCAGGCCCAGCCATCCCTTTTTCTAACTGAATAATATTCTATCATATAGATTTATCATAATTTATATATTTAACTATATCTCGATTGCCTTTAGCTTTAATGTAAGCTCTTCTAAACATTATTGCAAACGTCTTTTCTAGACATCCATTATCATTTTCTTTGGGTAAATATCTAATAGGGAAATTGTTGGAAAACAATGAACATTTAATACTATAAGAAACTGACTAAGCATGCTCCAACATGGTTTAAGAATTCCACATTTCCCTAGCCAGGTACAGAGTCAAGGATTCTTCATATGCTTGCCAACATTTGGTATTGAATTTGAAATGGCATCAGTGTAATTGTAATTTATGGCTCTCTGAAGACTTGATGTTAAATCCTTCCAAAAGCTTATTGGCTATTTGTATGTCTTTTTAATGACGTATCAACATTTGTGACAATTAAGAAAACCGGGTTATTTCTTAATTTTCAATTTATTTGAGATTTTTATGAGCTTGTGATACAAGTTCTTCAGCAGATGCATTTATGATGAGTATTTTCCCTACTTTGTAGCTTGTTTTTAATTTTATTTATGTATTTGGTTGTTTGAAAGGCAGAAAAGAGAAAGAGATCTTCCATCCACTAGGTAACTCCCCAGACAGGCGCAGCAGCCAGGGCTGGGGCAGGTTGAAGCCGGGAGTCTGGAACTCCGTGTAGGTCTCCCATATGGGATGCCAACATCACAGGTCAGCTTCAATCACTGTGCCACAATATCTGCCCCAGTTTTTCCATTTTTAAAACTTTATTTAAAAAAACTGTTTACATAGTTGAGAGGAATGCATGCCCACATTGGGTTCCAGTTAGGATGGGGAGGACATGGAGAAAGGTGGGTGGAACAAACGTTTCAATTTTTTTTCCTCTTGCATCTGCAAGGGGGGAAAGGGAAGTTGTCACTCCTTGCTGTCAAATCAGCACCCAAGGATGGGGGACAGTCATTTGCTGATCCTTAGAGACCCTGATGGTAAGAGTGTTTCCACGCTGTCTACTTGAGTGGTTTTGATAATTCTGAAACATCACTGACTTCACTGCACCAGGGTTGAGAAAATCTTTGCATGGTCTCTTGACTGACCAAGTCCACCTTAATGCACCCACAAATCTAAAGAATATGTTGCAAGGCTTAACCAATAGAGTTGTCTAACCTGTTCTGCTTTCCATCCTGACAAGGGAGCTGACATCCTCTGCTGGCCTAGATGAGCTGGCTGTCATGTTCCCTGTGTGCATCTGGGCATGCTGTGCCATGCACAGGCATCAGCAGAAAAGGAGGCCCAGTCCTGACATATGTACTCCAAGGTCAGGATGCATATATTCTGATTCTCCCTGTGGCCTGGGTTTCAGTCCAGCCATCTAGCTGGGGAGTCCTGCAAGAAATGTCACCTCAGGTGACCTTAGACTTGACTTGATGTGCCAGTCAGTGTAGAGTCAGGTGGGTGCAGCTGCCTAGTCAGTTCCACCCCAACCCTATCTCTCACATGAATTGAGGCGTGCTGTGACTTAGCCCAGGCCCAGCCCACCACAGGCCTGGTCCCTATATACACTAGTAGGTGCTGTGGCCTACTTGGAGTGATACCCAATAACTCCAACCAGGCTCACCCACAACCCTGATTTTTGAGTTTTGGCATGTTCTGTCCTGCATCCCATCTGACTCTTGTGCACACCCATGGGTGCTGTGGCTAAGCTCAGCCCAATTTTCTCTTACATCCAGCCCACACATATACCAATGGAAACCACTGCTTTGACTGACCTGGCCTGCTCCTAACCCCAGTTCTCATGCTCACTAGTGGGAGCTGCAGCCCAGCAGGGGAGTGCCCACACTTTCCCCATCAGGCTCACTCCCAGGATCTTGCACCTGCCAGGGCACAGTGAAATCCAGCATGACTCACACCCAGTCCCAGCACTTGTCAGCCTAACCCAGCTGACTCACAACCATTTTAGCTCTTATGCAGCAGGTGCAGCAGCTGAGCCCAGCCTGGCCCATCCCCAGGCCAGCCCAACCCATCTCAGCAATCACACTCACCAGTGTAAGCAGCAGCCTAGGAAGGGAGTCCCTGAAGTTCCCTTACCAGTCCTGCTCTTGTGCGTGCCAGCAGGTGACACAGCCCAGCTTGACATGGCAGGCCCTCAGGTTTGGCACTCATAAGTGGGTGCTGAAATCTAGCCCAACTGTCTCACATCCATTCTGGCTCTCATCAATGGGTACTACAGCCTAGCCCAGCCTAGCCACCCACCCCCATTCCTAGTCCCAGCTCTCACATGAAACAGTGGATGCCATGGATGCTGCAGCCTAGCCTGGCCCATCCCATACCCATTCTGGCTCTTGGGAGTACCAGAGGGTGCTGGTGCCTAGCCCAGTCTTGGTCACCCTCAGACCCAGCCCACATGCATGCCAATAGATGCTAAAGCCTTGCCTAACCCAGGCTGGTCACAGCCCTGGCTCTTACACTCACTAGAAGGGGTTAGTACCCTAAGTGCCCCTACCAGGCCTGCCAGCCTCAGATTTGCAAGTGCTTGGAGGTACTTCAACCCAGACTAGCATGACTTACTGGCAGTTTTAGCTCTTATTTGCAGGATTTGTTGCCTACACCGTGTCCTGGTTCTGGTGTGTGCCAACAGGTTGTGTGGCCTAGCCTAGCCTGGCCTGTTCCCAGGCCTGACTATTATGCTAGCAGGGGAGTTCCCTGAGTTCCTCTGGCAGGGCCACTCCCATTCCTGGATGGTACATGTGCTGGTGGATGTCATGACCTTGTTTGGCATGGTTTGCCCTCAATGCCGGCCTTTGAATTTGCAGCAAGTGCTGCAGTCTGGCCCAGTCCAGCCTTCTCCCAGCCCCAGGACTCTTGAATTTCATGTGAGTTCCACAGTCCATCCTGGCTCAGCCCGTGACCATCCACAGCTCTCAGTACAAACCAGTGGGCGCTGCAGTCCCACAGAGGATAGCCAAAACTTCCCTACAGAATCTGCCCCCAGATCTTACTTTCACATTCTGATGGGTGCACCATCTCAGCGTGACACGGCCCACCCCTGCTCTGATACTCACAGTGGGTACTGCAACCTACTCCCATTAGACATGCCGCCAGCCCCAGCCTTCGTGTGCAGTGGCAGGCCACAGGTGATGCTATTTAGCCCAGCCCAGGTCTCCCATGTGGGCGAGTGCCTTGGCCTGACCCACACATGCCCTCTGGTTCCTCCTCTAAAACGTTTCATCTCAGCTCACTTGCCTACCTGCCAGTTCAGTGACCCAGTCCATGGAAGACTCCACAAGCCATTCCTTCCCTGTCAAACATGCTCTCAGCTGCTCCCACTCCAATATGTCCCCAGACTGCCTTCCCCAGGCAATCTGCAAACCCCCACCCTCCCAATCTGGGACCAGGGTGATATGTCCAGGTCCAGCATTCCGCACCTTCTCCACATACATTTTTAAAAATATATGGAATTAAAACTGTGTCACATAATGCAATGTAATTAATAATACATATATGTATATATATATATGGAATAGGTAACTATGCCACTCAGTGATACAGTTAACACAAATTTGGCATAATCAGGCCCAGGATGCCCACCAACAACTGGCTGCTTTTCTCCCAGCAGTGTGACACTTGCCCAAGAACAAGGCAACAGAAGCAGTTGTCTACCACAGGGGCTGCTTTTTCATTATTGATGGTATCTTTCAGTACAAGTTTTCAAATTCAATGATATACAATTGTTTTCAACCTTAATGAAATACATTTTGTCATTCTTTTTGTAGCTCTCTCTCTCTTTTTTTTTTTTTTTCTTACCTAGGAATGCCTTACCTTTTCCAAAGGCATAAAGGCAATCTCTGTTCTCTTCTAGAAGCTATCTGGCTTAATTTTTATGTCAGAGTTAGAATCTATCTCAAATTACATATATATATATATGTATATACATTTCTATTATGTGCAGTAAGAACCATTGTTGATCTTAAGTCATTGAAAACATCTCCCTTTTCTCCATTGAATTATCTTGACAATTCTGTCAAAAGCCAGTTGGCAGTGTATGTATGACTCTAAATCCAGACTCTAATCTCTTCCACTGATCTATCTGCTTGTGTTTATACTAACACCACATTATTTTAATTCTGGTGATTTAATTAATCTTCAAATAAAGGTGTAAGACTCAAGATTCATTCTTTCTTCAACTTTGTTTTAGCTATTCTCAATCCTCTTGTTTCCAAATGAATTTTCAAATTAACTTTCCATTCTCCACCTTTAAAAGCCTGTTGGGACATTGATTGAGCACAACAAACATTTTGACAATACTGACTCATAACCCAGGATGTATTTTTCCATTCTCATTCTCAATTTCTTCCAGCAATATTTTATATTTTTATTGCAAATACCTTACAAATGTGCTCATATTTTTCTAAATATTTTATATTTTTGATGCTATTTGCTTAGAGCATTTTTAGATAGATTTTTGTATAACCAAGGCCTCTAAAAGCTAAAGCTCATTTCTAAAATCATCCTGTGCTTCTAGTTACATGATAGTGGTACAAACCAGATTAACAGAAAATAAATGAAAAAAAAAAGTGGTACTATTGTGATGGTGTAAGGCAACAGCACTGCTAAGCCTCAGCTCACGTACAGAAAGTAGAGAGGACGCCCAGCATGATGCCCCAATGACTAAAATCCTCACCTTGCTGATAAAACCCTCACCATCCGCTGATTCACTCCCCAAGTGGCTGCAATGGCTTGAGCTGAGTCAATCCAAAGCCAGGAGCTGGGAGCTTTTTCTGGGTTTCTCACACAAGTGCAAGGACCCAACACTTTGGGCCATCCTCTATTGTTTTCCCAGGCCACAAGCAGGGAGCTGGCAGGGAAGTGGAGCAGCTGGGATGCAAACTGGCACCCTTATGGAATCCTGGTATGTGCAAGGTGAGGATTTTAGCCACTATGCTACTATGTCAAGCCCAGGTGCTAAAATTTTATGTATCATCGAGACACACAGCCAAAGAAATGCCTTGTGCAAAGACTGGAATGTGCGAGAACATGGGGAGTCTTAGGAAGAAAGGTTAGGAAGTTGGAGAAGGATAGACAGGAGAAAAAGTTTAAGACTGATCTGACGCCATGCAACCTGCTATAATCAGTTGAGAAACATTAGTGATTCTTTCTTAATGTTAGCCCTGGAAGCAAGAAAGCATGAAGCAACATGAAGAACACATGTTCTTAGAATGCTCTACCCGTCCCAGTCGTTGTGTTTCCCATGACCTCTGTGCCGACGCTGTGGGAAAGCACCAGCAGATCCCAGCGCCTGGGCCTCTGCCACCCACTGGGAGACCCTGGATGAAGTTCCTGGCTGCTGGACATCAGTACCCCAGCTCAACGGCTACAGTCATTTGGGTGGTGAACCCAAGGGGTGGAAAACCTCTTTCTGCTGTGTTGCCTTGCAAATAAATAAAATAAATATATATTTTTTAAAGCTCAATTGTCATTAAAATATTCATTTTATAAATGGTAACAACAAAATACCTAAAAACAAAGTTTACTCAGTCCCTACTATTCATGTGGGAGATGTAGAGTGACTTCCAAGGTCCTGGCTGCTGGTAAACCACTCTCTCACTGTTTCTCACTCTTTCTCTCATTCTCTTTCTCACTGTTTCTGCCTTTCAAATTAAAATATTTTAAGAAGACATGGATCTGAATCCTGCATGCATTGGTGATGGCAGCATAGCCAGCCCCTTAATCTGTAATCACTCAGGAAACAGCTGCAAACCTGCATCTTCCATCCTGACAGGTAGAAGGATATGTCTTGGAGCAAAATGGGTGAGAAATGTCACTCTCTCTCTGGTTCTGTCACATTATCTTTGGAATTCTAATTTTTCTTTCGCCTGTAAAAATCATCACTACTGAACGTCTTAAATAGATAAATAATGCAAAAATCCTTTGCAAACGAATAGCTTCGGCTGCCTCTTGGTCTCTCACTTACCACTAACAGTGACCTTCTCCGAATTCTTGTCAACACTACGTGAGTTGATAGACATACGAATAGTCCCTAACGGTGCTTGACAAGTGCTAGCTGTTGCTAGTGCTCACCTAAGTTCCAGAGGGGACTTGTCTGATTTTAAACACTTCCCCATCTCCTACAGACCCGCGAACCACGCACCCGAGGGACGCTCACACTTGCCGTCAGGGAGACTTCCTTCTTCTCCCAGCATGCAGCGAAGGGGGCGTCCCGGGGAGGGGCAGCCGTAGGCCGGAACCCGAAGTTGGGCTCGGGCCGGCGCCGGAGCCTATTCGCTCCGGGACGCAGACGCCGGAAGTGGCGAGGGCGGGGTCGGCGCTGCTAGGGAAGAGCTGCCGCCCGGCCAAGATGCTGCTGGACTTGTCGGAAGAGCATAGGGAGCACCTGGCCTTCCTCCCGCGAGTGGACAGCGCGGGTGAGGGAGCGCGGGGCGGTGGGCTGGGCTGTGGCGAGGCGCCCGAGCTCACGGCCTCCTCGCTGTCTTGCAGTGGTCGCCGAGTTCGGGCGGATTGCTGTGGAGTTCCTGAGGCGAGGCTCGAACCCCAAAGTCTACGAAGGCGCCGCCAGTAAGGCACGGAGTGGGGTGTGGGGGACGCATGTGCTGCCAGGGTGCCAGAGGACGGGGTCATGGTGATTTCGGGGACCTCGATCCGTTTGGGATAGAATGAAACCAGCAAGAGCTGGTGAATCAGACACAATCCTGGAAATCCAGGCTTGATCCTGTGGGCTCCCGAAGCAACCGGGAGAATTAATTAATTTTCGTCCTTTTCTTTTCTTTTTCTCTCCTTCACTCAGTTGAGTGTGCTGTAAATCTCATGCAAAGTGTTGGCTCATCACTGGTTGCTCAAATACATCTTTTGCACAAGTGATGCTGTTTTCGCACTGCATGCCGGGCACACTGGGGTTGACACGATTCCCTCGAGTTCTGCCAGGGTGAAGTGAAGAGGACCATGTGCCTGTTGCTGCCTCCACTGGTCCGTATTCTGTAAAGGCTTCCTGCTGGGACAGGTAGAAGGCACCTGTTTGGAAATCCACTGAAAAAGAACAGGAGGCTCTGACCAACTTATTTTTCATTGCAGTGTTTACATAAATGGAACAATGAATGCCTTTTAAAATTTTTTTTTAAAAAGATGTATTTATTAATAGCCTGGCATAGTAGCCTGGTTGATAAAGTCCTCGCCTTGTACTCACTGGGACCCCATATAGTCTCCACTTTGTGTCCTGACTGTTGCACTTCCCATCCAGCTCCCTGCTTGTGGCCTGGAAAAGCAGTAGAGGATGGCCCAAAACCTTGGGACCTTGAACCCATGTGGGAAGAGGCTCTGGGTTTCTGGCTTCGGATAGGCACAGTTCTGGATTTGCGGCTACTTGGGGAGTGAATCATCAGAAGGAAGCTCTTCTTCTCTGTTTCTCTTCTATATATCTGAATTTCCAATAAGAAATACTTTTTAAAAAAATTTAGTTATTTATTGGAAAGGCAGAGAGATCTCCCATCCATTGGTTTGCTCCCCAAATGGCCACATTGACTGGGGAAGCCAGGAGCTTCTTCAAGGTCTCCTGTCCTTCACTGCTCTCCCAAGAACATTAGCACAAAGATGGGTCGGAAGCTGGGACTCTAACCAGCATCCCTGTTGGCGGCTTTCCCACTACACCACTCGCCCCAGTTACCTATTTTTAAAGCAAGCTTGAGTAAAAGGATAATTGATGAGAAATGCTAAATATCACAGGATTGTTTCATTGCATGTTTTTTCCTTTCCTCTGTCAGGAAAGCTCAATGTGAGTAGTGACACTGTCCAGCATGGTGTGGAAGGATTGATCTATCTGCTCACGGAGAGTTCCAAGCTCATGGTAAGGACTTGTGTGGACTGTGTCACGTGGCCTGGGTCCTTGTCCGAGTTCCAGGGCATCCTGCATGCCAGTCCGGCCAGTGCTGGGTGCTGCACTCATGTGGCCGATCGCTTACAATGGGACTGTGAAGACAGCCCTAAGTGCTAGGACTGTCCCAGCATGTGCTTTGAATCGCTCTCGCTGCTGATATAAATATGAATGGCTGCTGTTACACTGCCGTGGTGTGTGTATCCTGGGAGTGAGGTGTATGGATCCACTGATTTCTTGGCACTTCAGCAGTGTCTGCATAGATGGTGAATAGGTTGGAAAACTAGGCATCTTTGCTGCTTTCCTGTTTATATTAAAAATGTTTTTTATACATCAGTAGCTCATTATTTTAGAACAGTAGGTGTTGGGGTTCTGTTCGCAAGAATGTCATTTCTTTTACTATGAATTTGAGGAGTTGAGATCCTTTTTTGATACATCAATATGTTAGTGTTTACTAGACAAGAAGGAATTCTGACATTCTGTTCAACTCAATTCACTTTTAGATTTCTGAGCTGGATTTCCAAGACTCTGTTTTTGTTTTGGGGTTCTCTGAAGAGTTGAACAAATTGCTGCTCCAGCTTTATCTGGACAACAGGAAGGAGATCAGAACTATCCTGAGTGAACTGGCCCCGGACCTTCCCAGTTACCACAGCCTCGAATGGCGCCTAGATGTGCAGGTACGAATTCTTACTTGAATCACACATACAGTCTTAGATTTGTGTCTGCTTAGTGTACTCTTCATCACCTTAACCAGTCTCTGGTTTGAACTTGGTTTTTCATTTTCTGACTCTTGCACATAGTTTCTTTTTATTTCTTGAAACTTATTTTCATTCTCTTTGAAAGACAGAGGAACACTCACAGAGTTGCATCCAGTGGTTTGCTCCTCGAAGGCCTGCCAGCCACGGTAGGGCTGGGCCAGGCCAAAGCCACGAGCTCAGAACGCCCAGCTCTGTCTTCCACGGGCTGGGAAGTACCAAATTCTCGAGCCATTATCTGCTGCGTATCAATGTGTTCGTTAGCAGGAAGCTGGATGGGAAGCAGAAGAGATGGGACTCAAACCAGACAATCCAGTCTGGGCTGTTGGTGGCCCAGGTAGAGACTGCTCACTCATTCACCTGTATTATATACTTTTTTCTCTGTTATATTTTTAATGTGCTTAACTCAGTTTGATTTTCAAAGCTTGTAAGAAATTGGCTATTTTGGAAAAGGGGATGATTAGGCCAACTTTCAAGGTAATACTTACATTTAAAAAATTTTTTTCTTTAAGTATAACACAAAAAAGAGCTCACAGGTAGTCTTCAGTGGATTATAACATGCTTTTTAAGAAAGAAAAAACCAAAATGAAACAAAACAAAACCCACGAAACAAATTGGACTATGACCAGGATTCCAGAAACATCTTTCTTGCTGCTGTCCAGTACTGCCCTTCCCCCTATTTTCAGAGGCAGCATCCTGACTAATAATGCGTCACACCTGTTTTTTTATGCATCTGGCTGCTTCTGTACTTTTATTTTGGTGAGACTCATCTTTCAGTTGTTTTTAAAAGACAATTAAAAAGGGAGTTTTCAAACCATTGCAATCACATCCCTTTATTAAGTAGTAAAAGGTGATTCAACCCATGTTTACTGACTGTCACCTTTTTGCTAATTTGAGCTATGCTAAATGCTTTGGTACAAATAAAGTATAAGGCGTGAACATTTTGGTGCAGTGGGTCAAGTTGCTGCTTGGGGTACCTGCATCCCATTTTGGAGTGCCAGTTCAAGACCTGGTTCCTCCACTTCCTGTCCAACTTCCAGGTGAGACATCCTGGGAGGTGGCAGGTCCCAGTCACCCGTGTGGGAGCAGCAGCCTGAGCCTTAGGCTTTGATGTGAGCCTGGTTGCTGTGGACACTGGGGACGGAATCAGCCAGTGAAAGATTGTCTTTCTCTCTGCCTTTAAATTTAATCAAATAAACACAGATTTAAAAAATTAAAGTCATCCTTCAAAAACAAAAATTATGAAGTATGTAGTACTTTCTCAGCTGACAAAAAATGTTACTTAGCTAAAGGTTTTAGATAGTCTGAAATAACTAATAAGTTAAGATAATTATAAAGTTCTGGAGGGGAAAAGAATATATTATTGTGTGAATGAAGATGCCAACCAGATTGTGAAATAGTTTATACCTGTACATTTCTCTGTGTGCTCATGTGATCCAAAAAAAGTTTCAGCAAAGGAGAGTGAAATTTTGGAAGGATGAATGAATATACCCACATGTTAGACCAGGAAGAGGCTCCAGGCTCCTGGCTTCGGATCAGCTCCGCTCTCGCTGTTGTGGTCACTTGGGGGAGTAAACCAGTGGGTGGGTGGAAGATCTGTCTATCCTTTTCTTCTGTATGTCTGCCTTTCCAATAAAAATCAATACATCCTTTAAAAAAAGAAAAGAAAAGAAAGACAGTAAAATAGGTTTGACAGAGCAGATAATAAGAAACTTTTCTAAGTTTTTGGATATTATGAAGGTACTCAGGACTCAGTACTCTTTGGACTGATCAGGATGAAATTAGAATTAGAAATGTGAAGAACTTAAGGCCTTTTATTATATTTTGACAATTTTTACATAGTTAATTAGGGTAAAAAGGTTCAAGGACTGTAGGAAAGTGGGTCCAACTATTATTTCCATGTTGTTTCCTTCATGTATCTGAGGTAAAGGGGGATATTAAGGGAGAAGCTCCACCAGTTTCCCACCCACCCCAGGTCCCAGATGTAGGGCATGCTCCGGGGTTCTTGTTCAGATGGTTTTGATAGTTCACTAGTTATGAATCGTTGCCAGTCTCGCCACTCCAAGCACGATGAGGTCGTTGAAGAATCCACTGATTGACATAGTCCATCATAGAGTCTCCGTTTGCCCAGTAGTTTGCTGCCAACATATAGCTGAAGTGGTTGATTGACTTTTTCTGTCTTCTGTGTTAGGATTCTGAGTCCGGCATTTCGATTGGGGAGATCCCCAAAGAAACTTTGAGGTGTTCTCAGACCAGATTCTTGTATGTGCTAGCAAGTACAGGGCCTGGCACTGTCCATCGCCCCGATCAGCTGGTGGTTGCAATTGCTGGGTTGGTTCTGTTTTCACTCCAGACTTCCACTGGAACCAATGGGTGTTGCAATCCAGCTTGGTTCTGCCCAGCACATACTTGGCCCTCACATAAACCAGTGGTAGCTGCAGCCTAGTCAGAGCGACCTGCAATAACCCCCACCAGGCCCGTCCCCCTACCCTGGTTTGCCAGTATGTGTAGCAAACTAGTCCAGTCTGTCCCACACCCCATTCGGCTCTCATACGTGTCAATGGGTATTAAAGTTTAGTTCCATCTAACCAGCTCAACTGTCCAGCCCTCACTGATGTTGTAGGGTGCCTCTCTGTCTAGCCACCCCAGCCCCTGTCCTAGTTTTCATGCCCTCCGGTGGGAGTGGTAACCCAAGAGGGATGAGCCCACTCTTTCCCTCCCAGGCCTCTCCCACTCCCCGATTATGCACTCTCTAGGTGGTTCTGTGGTTTGACTTGACAGAATTAGTCCCCTCCCCCATGCCAGCTTCTACTAGCTGATGCTGTGGCTAAGCCCAAACAACCCTCATCCACTCTGTTTTTGTTTGCACCAGCCTGGCTTTTCCCTGATCTAGTCCACATGAAGCACATAGGTGGTGTAGCCCTGCTTAGTCTGTTCTGCCCCCATCCCAGCTCACGCTCTCCAGTGGGAGTAGCTGTCCAGGAAGGGAACCCCCGCTTATTCCCCCTGCCGGCTCTGCCCCCTCCCTTCCTGGTTTACTCATGCGTGCTGGTTGGGCGCTGAGGTCACATCCAGTACCTTGGCATTCCGTATTGTGCACTGGTTTTTGTCGCAACTGAACCTGGCTGGACCCAGACTCTGTTCCGGTGCTCGAATTTGCCACTGGATGACGTGAACTGATTCAGCCTGGTCTACCCCCGACCCATGCCAATTGTATGCCAGTGGGAAACTTTCCATGGCCTATTCTGGGCTGTTTCCTATCATGCTTCTTGCACTTACCTGAAGGGTCTGTGTCCTGCCAGAGGAGTTGGGAGTTGCTCTTCCAGTGCCCAATTTTGTGCAGACCAGGGAGTCCATGAGCCAGTCCTACTCATTTCACCTCCTGTCCTAGCAGGAACAGTGGCTTTTCCTGACTGGCCTTCAACGCAAACTGGTTCTTGCTGTTGGATGGTTCAGCCCAGCCACAGCTCGTCTATACCCACATAGAGCTCACTCATGGTTCAGTAGGGGATGAAACCTAGCTTAGTCTGTCCCACATCTACCCTGGTCCTCCAAGACACCAGACAGTGTTGGAGTCTGGCCCGGCTTGGTGCGTCCAGTCCCAGTCCACACTTGTGCCATGGGAGACTACAACCATATCCTGATCAGAACGCAACCCCTATTCCAGCCCACACGCCCTTTGGTGGGAACCTCAGCCCAGCTAAGGTGTCCCCTTAGCTCCCCACCTGGGCCTGTTCCAAACCATAGATCATATGTATGCCAGTGGTAGCTCTGACTCAGCTTGGCTCAACCCGTCACCAGTCCCGACCCCTGCCTTAGACACTGTGGCTTAGCATCCCTGGCTCACGCAGACCAGTAGGTACAAGAGCCTAGCTCAGCATGACCTATGATCCATCCTGGTTTCTAGTTTCGTTTGTGGGCTAAGGTTTGCTCAGTCCTGCCCAGTACACTCCCATTCCATTACCAATTCACACATTAGCCAGCTGTTGGAGCTGCTTTGCCCAGCATGTCTGACCCCCAGGTATAGACCACATGTTCACCATCAGGAGCTATGACTCACCAAGGGAGTTTCCCAAGTTCCCCCACTTGATCCACTCCCAGTCCCAGTTCTGATACATGCCATTGGGTTTTAGGCCAGTGTCTGGCGCAGTCTGACCTTCATTTGGCCTTGTATGAGCTGGTGAATGTTGCAGCCCAGCCCACCCCACACCCTATTCAGGATGCACATTCGGGTGCTGCTGCTTTGACCAGTCTAGACTGTTGTCAGTTCCTTTACCTGTGATTGATGGCAAGCTCCCTGTTCACACCTAGCTTAGTCCATCACCACCCCAACTCTTGAGCTAACCAGTGGAGCTAGAATTCCTACAGGGTTTGGCCCACACATCTCCCACAGAATCTATCCCAGGATATGGTTCTTGAGTGCAGGTTAATGTCATGGCCTTGCCTAATGTGACCCATCTCCTGATCCATCATCGTATCAGGTAATAGGATATGATAGGACAAGCCCTGAGCCTTAGCTTTTGTATGGACTGGTATTTGGAGGTCAGCATTGTTCAGTGATTGCAAGTTCTTCCAAGGAAGAGTTACTGTCATTGAGAATCTTTGGGATTGATTCACATCCCAGAAGCACAGTGGGTTCAAGCTGGAGCTACCTAAGCAAGGATTCAAAGAGCCGAAACCCCAGAGTTCCCAGCTGGGCAGCCAGCAGGCGGAGCCTGGCGCCAAATGGTGCACAGGCAGGCCCAGGGACAGCTCACCACGTGCATGTGGTGGCTGGCGTCAGGGATCCTGGCATGAAACACCCCGACCTGAGACCCACCAGCAGCGTTTAAACCCCCAGGCCCAAGGTTGCGCCCCTCCCCAATCCTGCCCACCACTCAATGAGGGCAGCAGGTGGGTTCCAGGCCTGTGCAGTCACAGAG